GGGGGGGGGGGTCGATGGGGGGAAGAGCTGAGGGGACATTGCTGGGTGACGGTTATTCGGGACCCGTAATGTAGTAGTGAGATGCGGTGGGAAGGGGTGTTCTTTTTTGTCGTGCAAACTGCCGGGCGCTGCCTGCTGCTTTTTGTTACCCCTGCTAAAGCCGTGGACGGAGGATGGGAGCTGGGTAAGGCCGAGAGGGGTGATGATGACCCGAACCGCCGCAACAACCGCAACCACCACCACATACACAAACACAAGACCACCGACCCGCTCCTCGTCCAACCGTCGGAAAGCGACCAACTCCCTCCCCCTCCCGGCTCGGCCACCAAACCGCCGCCGTGTCTCTTCATGCACCTCAACAGGGTGAGACGGTGCCGTACATCATTTGTGTCGAGCGCAAACGTGACGATGCAACGGCCGCTGCCGCCACCGCCGACGGCCCAGCGGCAGCCGAGGGTGCCCCCGCCCCCGCCGCCGCCAACCCTGCCCCCGCTACTACCGGCGGCAACGGCACCAGCGCTGCCAATGGCGGCGGCACTGGCTGCAGTGGCAGTCTTGCTGAGCGGGCTCGCCACCTCGAGGAGTTACGAGACAACCCCTCCCTGGAGGTGGATGTGGAGTACTACCTGGCTCAGCAGGTACGGGGGAGGTGGGGGGACGGGGGGGTGGGCGGCGGAGATTAGCAGTATTGCCGAGGTGGGAGATGGGACTGGTGAACCGGTTGGGCGCTCTCACTGGTTTCCTCTCCCGACCGGAGGAAGGTGGAGAGGGCATAAGCGGGGTGTGTTGTCTCGGGGGTAAGGACAGAGGCTTACCTAAGGAACCGCGAATGGTGAGTAGGGAGTCCGGAGACGGGCTGCGAGGGGCGATGTGGGGGTTGGGCCTACCAGGGTGACTCCCTAAACAACCCCCCCCATTTCTGGCAGCAGCTTCACTCGTTTGTGGTTCGTCTTTCCCCCCATTTCCCCCCTCACTGGCTCCCTCTCCCCCACGGGGCCCAACCCACCCCACTCCCGCCAAACACGTGCCCTTTCCCCGCAGATACACCCTGTCGTATCCCGGCTGGTCAGCCACATTGAAGGCACTGATGCCGCCCACATAGCGGACTGCCTGGGGCTGGACCCGACAAAGTGCGTTTGAGGGGGGAAGGGCGACCGCGGAGGGGAACGGGAGGGTTGCTCCTCGGTATCCTACCTGGGATCTCTCATTTCCTAGCTGATGCTGCGTCTGCTCACGTACAGGTGCTGCCGTTGTGTGTCCTGGTCTCTTGTGCTGCCCCCCTGGCCCCAACCACTTCTTAGCCCTCCCACCACACACACACAGACACACAGACACCTCCCTCAACCCCCCCGAGCAGCTTCACTTGTTCGTGGTTCGTCTTTCCCTCGTACCTTACAGACTGACTATTATGTGTCTGCCCCACAGTTTGCCGTACTCACATAGCTCCTGGCTGATGTCTGTTGTGGGGGATGTCCCCTGTTTGGTGGTTGCTGACACCGCCCACTCACTATCTACGTCTGCGTGTGCCTGGTTGGTTGGTCGTCGGTTAAGTGGTTGGTGAATTGGTTGCTTTTGGTACTTGGTCGCAGGTACCGGGGCACCTCTGGTGCTGGTGGCTCGGGTGGTTTCGGAGGTGGTGGTGATGAGGACTCCGGGTTGATGGTGGGTTCATCCATGGGGACACTCATGGACGAGGAGGATAACTTCAGGGTGAGTGCGTGTTGGGGTCGGGGGGGAGGGGGGGGGAAGTGCGCACGTGTGTGGCGTGTGTATCCATCGGGCGGGTAACATGGGCTTGTGCCCGAGCCATTATTTCCCTTCCGTACTCAAACACTCTCCGTCATGTAGCAGGTATGACTCTTTGAAAGGTCTTTATTTTATTTAAGTTGATATTCGGTGAATTTCAACAATACACGGATGCGACGGTTGCCTCCAAAGCACCTTCTCCCCTCCACAATAACCCCAATCCTGACCCCCCCCTTCTGCTCCCCACCCTCTTGACGTCCCTCGCCCCCAATCACGACTCCTACCCCGGCGAACAGTCCTGCTCCCCGCTGATGCTCAACAGCCCCAACGGCTCCTCCTTCCCCCTGCGGGGTGTGGATGCGGTGCTGCGGGGGGAGGTACTCCCCGACCACCTGCTCACCCCCCTGGACGCCCTGGGGGATGACACGGCCAGAGTGGGGCTGGCGGGGCTGGTCAACCAGGTGACTTACGAGGGGGGGGGCGGGGGGGGCCTAGGAGGGAATCGCATGGTGCAAGAAGCAAAGGAGTCATCGGCCGACATGTTCACAGAGCACTGAACTGCCTTAGGCGAGTACAAAGTGCGGTGGAGGGGAGGCAGGGGCCCAGGGCCTGAGTAGGGGGTGACTCCACTGCTCCCTCTTAACGGCAATCCTCCGCTTCCCATCCGCGCTGCAGGTGCTGCTTCGCGCCCATGAGGCTGTAGCTCGCTACTACGACGGAGTGCTACGTCCGGATGATGAGACGGCGGAGGTGGCGGGGGGCTGCAGGGCCGCTGTGCTCCGGGTGCCGGGGGGCGGCAGTGGGGGCACGGCGGTGGGCGAGGAGGGGCATGTGTGTCCCGACCGATGTGCCCACCCGGACCCCTCCCGCGGGGGGGTGCTGCTGCGACGAGCCCTTGGCGAAAGGGAGCTGTACCTGCAGGTAATGGGGGTAGTGGGTGGTGATGGTGGGTTCAACTGAGGTTTTAAGGTTCACGTATTGAGGAGTTTGTTGGGGTTCTAGAGTTATTAAAGAGATCCACGCGTGGTGGGTGGGTGGGGGTTTGGGAGGGGAAGGACAAATCACGAACTAGTGAAGCTGCTGCCAAGGAAAGAGAAGCAGAACTGACCAGTAGGCGTTCTTAAGAAGTGCGGCGACCTCGGGATGATGTAATGAAGACGACCGCGGAAACCTACCTACCGCCTAGCCCCCAAGACTAAAATAAGAGCGGACGAAAAACAGTAGAACGAGGCCGTAAAGAAATAAGGCCTCGTGTAGCGGCGGCGAAAACGTAGTAGAGAACTTGGTTGGGGTGGGGATGCATGTGTGTGTTTGGGTTGATCATGGGGATGTATGGATGAAGGCATGTAGGGGAGTGGAAGCATGTATGAGGCGTTTATCGCCTTTCTTGCCCAAGTTCCCTGTCAAGCTGCATTTCCGTCCCCCACCCTCTTCCCCTCTCCCCCCCTTCTTATTGCCCCGGTCAGCTGTGTCACTACTACCGGCTGCTGCACGTGGAGGGGGCTGTACGGAGGCAGTACTGCCGTATTCGGGCAGCAGATCCCAAGTCGCAAATCGCAATGGAGGACCTGCGCGCCCTGGTGGGTGGGTGGGTGGGTGGATGAGGAGAGGGCAGTGTGGGGTTGGGATGGCGTTCGGAAGCGCCTCGGGGAAACGAGCAGTGCTTTGGAAGATTGTTGACATGAAGGTGTGGAGAGTGCTGCCCTGCTGACCCGTGACATGGTCCCTCCCCAGCCCATGTCGGCTTTTGATTGTTTACTCTCCCCCGGGCCCCCGCACCGCTGCCCCTTTTCCCCCACCCCCTCGCCCCGCCTCCCTCGCTCCAGATCCCGGAGCCCCTCAGTCGCACTCTGGCCAGTGCGGCTGAAGCTGTGGACAGCATCCGCCGCTGCAGTCACTGGCACTGGGTAGATCTGGGCAAGTTGTTCGGGTGCCTGGAGGGTGCAGCACCAGCGGCGAGGGCGGCAGCCACGGACCAACACCAGCAGCACCAACACCAGTCACTGCTGGCGGGTGCAGCAGCCGCGGGTGGGGGAGTGGGGGTTGGGGTGATAAACCTGGGCTCGGTACGGGGTATGGTCGCGTGAGGAGGGGAAGGGGGAATTTGGGGGAAAAAACTAAGTCCCGGATGGACGGATGGATGGATGAGCCTCACATGCATGCGGGGGGAATTTGAGAGCGGGTCCCGGGGGAAATGATGGGCATGCGAAATGACGGACGGACGGACTCAGGGGCTTAAGGGTGCGGTGATACGGATGGGAAGTGGCAAAAGCGGACATTTACATCCGCAGGTCGGAGGCGGGACAGATGTGCCGATACGAGGTGGGGCATTACTAGTGGGTAGGACAGGGGGCGGGAGAGTGGGGCCGTGGAGGGGGCAAGGGGAGACCACCACCAGACTTCTGAGGACAGGGGCAGCGATCTTGGTTGAGGAGGTGGACGTGAAGGAAGGGGGGAAAGCTGTGTACGGTCAGCGGCCACAAGGTGAGATGCCCCAACCGTGAAGAAGGCGACCACTGAAGAACCGTGCGTGCGCGCGTATTGCCTGCCTACAAAATTGATCGTGTTGTGCATCGGCTCATCGGCGAAGATGCAGCTTGCACATTTGTCGTTTCGGCTACCTTTTCCGGGTCGCTCCAGACAGCCTTCTGGACGGCCCGGGCTTCTGATCCGTGTTGGGAGGGTGTTAGGGGTTAAGGAACACCGTCTGCGGATGTCTAGTTGCCCGCGGAGCCAGGTTACTTCCGGGCGACTGCGGGGTATTGGTTACTGCCCATCAGCCGCTGCTGGTATCTCCAGGTATATGGCAGCTATCGAGACCGGGGTAGGGGAGGGAAGAGGGCCGGAAGGTAGGGGGGTTGCAATGGAAAGGGGCTCTGGATTTGGGACAGGGTTACGTCGGAAACGGGTTTTGATTTGCGTGCCGATTTTTTGTTGGGCATATACTGGTTATTGGGCTGTTAAAGCGGCAGGATGAGTTGTAAGCGGCTCAAGACGGATTAACCGCATGCTGTGTCGTTTTTTGTTGGGACTTGTCAGCTATTGGTACTGCCGGTGACGCCCTAATTGTGTTTACATCGTTTACATAACACCGCGATGGCAAAGCGCGCGCGCGTGTGTGTGTGTGTGTGTGCGATCATCGCGCGATGGCGTGTTTAGGGTTTGAAGCTGGACTTCCTTGTCTAATCGCTTGTGTGGATGGACAAATTACCTGGCGTGCACATCTACAAACGCGACGTCATCTTTGCGGTCAGCAATGGCTGTGAAGTGAGACCAAAAGAAACGTTCTTCAAATATGTTTGTAAATATAATTTAAATTCCTCCGTTTTGAAAGTTAATGCGATACTGAATATCGTCTGGATCATCCCGCAGCGCAGGGTCAAACGACGCACCATGTAAAACTCCCGATCTGTCCCGCCTGCCCACTGATTTCAATTCACTCCATGCCATCACAGCCCCTTCTTTCCATCACCTTGTCCAGACTCTTTTACATTTTAATACACGTGCAACAGCTCCGCACTTCCCGCTGCACTTCCAGCCGTCCGTACTACATATTTAGAAGGACGACAGGCATGGCCCAGGACCGCCACAGACGCTGCTCGAGGCCCCTACTGGTCCCTCACAGCTTCGGCCCATCACATCAACCCCCCGTAGCCGTTGGTACGGCCGCACCACCGAGGCCCCGGCCCCCGGGAAAGCTGCCAAGCCCTCCACCACCTCCACCTCCACCACCACCCGGAGGGATCAGGCGCACAGGCCCCGGGAAGCCGCCGGGGAAAATGCCGCCACCGCCGCCGCCACCGCCACCGCCACCGCCGCCGCCACCGCCACCGCCACCGCCGCCGCCGCCGCCACCGCTGGGTCCGTTCTCCTTTGCTTGTGTTGACCACTTGACTCTGACAAAACGAATGGTGCGCAGGTTGGGGGCACACAAGGTTGGGACCTTGGCTTTGTCGTTACGGAGAATGCGGCATGCAGCCACCCGCAGCCAGCTTGGAGGAACCCAAGGCACGTATGGCATAAAAGCTTTTGCCAATACACAACAATTGACAGGCTGTCTGGTTCTTTGGGTAAGCCCCATTCCTGCCTAACAAACTGCCACGCAGTCCTCCTTCCATGTCCAAATAACGTCCCCCTGCCCGTTACATTCGATCGTGTGTGTAGCCACGTGATCGACACCCGCGCAAACAGCACCCCCTACGGCGGTGTGTGCCCACCCAACCCAGCCTAACAAAACACCCCGCGCAACGCAACTCAACGCAGCACAGCACAGCACAGCACAGCACAGCACAGCCCTACCTATACGTGTCATACCCGCACACACCGCGTTGACTGTCCACCGACTCAGTATCCGTTGTACCTCCCAATAACCCCGCTTCCTCCCATCCCCCTTCACGCCGTACCTGCCGTCGAACTGGCGGGTCATGGAACAAGCCACAAACTGCGAGATGCAGATGGGGGTGAAGCCGGGCGGGGGCAGCTGCTGAAGCAAACGACGTAGGCGCAGGAGGGCGCCGCCCAGCAGCGAAGGGGACCCGGAGCCCTCATCCAGCCCTGGAGCCATGATGGGGAGTGAGACCAACGGAGCACGGGGGGGTAGCAACCCGTGCGCGTGTGGTGGCAGGAGGGTGGGTGGTGGAGTTAAGGGGTGGGGAGGGAGATGATGCGGGGTCGGTTCCCACCAACGCGCGCGATCATCATTCTCAGAAAGCCGCCGATTCGTACAGCAGTCATCAGGAAAATGTGCGTGATTGTAGTGCGTTTGTTATACGGCATGAGCGACATGGCCGATCTCGAGCTTTTGTCTGATGAACTACGACATCTGTCTCTTGCCGTGCGATACATGCACATGGCTTGCAGGAGGCATGCGGGACATTTTGCGAGGCTGTCGACAAGGAAAAAGACAAGGGCCAAGGGGCGGAAGCCCTGGACAACAATGCCCAAACCCCCATACTTCCATGACATGCCGCTCAACGACAACACGCCATCACACAACGACCACACGCACCCAGACTGCACAGGGCAGGTAATCGGAAATCTATGCACTTTAGTAGCGCCACACTGCCACACGTAACTACAGCCGAGCAACCCCCTACAATCCCTGCGCTGTCTATCAGCAAGCAGTCGATAATCTCAGTGGCCAGACGCATAATGCGGATGCACACAAGCGCCAGGCCGGCTCATGTCGACAAGTACGATGAGGTTACGGCGCCGGAACGGTCTGCACCTGAATCTGGTCATTGCACTCACCATTGGAGGCCCCAGCGCTCGCCGTAACGCGGCCTGGGGAGGCGACCAGCGTCACAATCGCCACCAGTGCTACAGCTGCTAGTAATCGCCGCTGCATCACGCCGCGAAGTAAGGATAACAACGGCGCCACCGGCCCTACTTGGACAGGCTTTGTTGCTGAGTGCAGCTGCTCTTCTTATAATGACGCTGGGACTGGCGCCTGGAGAATCGCAGGAGAATAATGTAGAGGGTGGGGCCACAGGCAGCAGGCGTCGAGACGCCGTTAATTGGTTTAACGAACGCGGGTGGGTCAACATAGGAGAGCAAAGCGGAACTGAACGGCGACGGCGGTCATGTGGTGAAGTACCCTAGGGCCCTGGCGAAGCACCTGAGGGAAGCCTGCAGATTCTATCAAGACTAAGGAGGACTGCAGTCAGCTGAGATTCGGTTGGGTGGTTCCGGCAGAGGACGGACAGTGCCCATGTAATTGCCTAGGCACAAGTTTACGGAGGTAGGAATCGAACGTGTAGGAGCTCACCTAAGACCCTCCAAGGAATACAACCTTCAGCGTGGGGGCTTGCGGGCGGCAACTGGCGCGTTACCTTTGCCCTCCACTGCAATACCTGACACTTCTAAAGCCCTTATACCACGATTGCCCAAGCTGTGCACGGGTTGGGGATTTGAGCATTAAGCATAGCTGCCAGTTATGTCATGGTCAGAATTGGCTGAAGGTGGTTGACAGGTTGGTTAGACGTTTTCTGACAACGTTCCTAACTGAACTGTCAAAAGGCCGTTGATGTTCCCAACGAACCATCTTTCTCTCTCTCCGTTGTAGTTCCTCTCGGCCATCCGGGCGGAGTTTGATTGCAGTGCAGTGCTGCTGGTGACGACCCTGATCGGACGTTGGCTGCCAGAAGCGGTGCTGCTGCAACAAGTGCAGCCTGTCAAACATACTCTCAATGTCAGGGAGACTAGGGCCCCAGTCATCCGAAATGTGGGGCATGTGCTAGGGGTTATACTCTTCACGACGAGGTAGATATGTTTTTTTGTGTTATTCGGCAAGTAGCAAAGTATGGTACTCGAACACCGGCGAGCTTGCCATCGCTGCACGTGATGACAGTCGTCAATTGATTTTATGCGACGAACTGCGACATAGTCAGCTCTCATTGTTGGTTGGCTGTTGGTTGGCTGCATGCTTGGTGGGGAGTATGGCCGCACCTTCGCGTTGGCACCAGCGCGTTTTTGCTGTCGCTGTCGCTGATTTTTCTCCTCTCATCATCCCTTAGGACATGTCCACTCCCCTTTTCTGAGGGAGCGATCGGCAGAGGACGTAACGTGCACGAGGCTGAACACGTCATCATGTACGGCAGACAGCAATCCCTCACGGTGTGGGCAGCTTACCTCCAGATGCGTGTGCGCGAACAGCCCCTCACTCTTCACGTGACATCCACCCATCCCTCGTGAGAAGCTCTTCGTGCGCCTGCTCGCACGGCCGCCCCCTCCCATCCACCGCTTCGAAATGAGTAACTTCCCTGTGCTCCCACTAATCCGTGGCGTTGTACAGTCACCAAACTCGGGAGTCACCAAGCCGGGGTCATTGAAGCGGCTCACGTCTACATCTGCTCGTTCGCAAGGTAACGACGCCAGGAGCGAGAGCCCGGTTGCCCCCTTTAGTTCTTCCACTAAAGTTCCCCTAGTCCTACTGGCGACACAACTACAATGCTTCTTGCTTACAAAGGATGAACTAAATGAAGCATGATTTATGAACGCACGCGACTAGCAGACGGCCAGGCAGATGAAAGAGTGTCTGTCTGTGTGTTTGTGTCTATGGGGGGGGGGTCGGCGTGTGCCGTGCCGTGGGAGTCCCGTGACCCACCGCATTCCGCTCGAGTACCAGGACATACCGCCACCGCGACATACCGACAAACCGCAAGGAAGGCTGTTTCGGCGATGCGGGCGGGACGGGGCGCGGGGGAGTGTGTGTGTGGCTAATGAATAGCCCCTCCCCACTACCGTAGGCACCCGCGGGTAAGAGGGGGGGGGAAGGCACGCTATCTAGTCACCCTCTTCCCCCCACCACGCCCACGAGGTTCATCTCCCATATCACTCTTCACGACCTGGTCCACCCCCCCAGATTCCCTAAACAGCGAGATCATGTGCAAGTGGTGGCTGCAGATGCACCCCTACGGAATTGATAGTAGTGGGTGGTGATCCCCACCCCGGGGGACGGTGGGGCTCAATGAGAACCGCACCACCCCGGGGACGGGGATTTGGGTGGGATGGGGGTTGGGTGGGGATAGTCCATTCTCATCTCCGTGGCAAAGACATACGCGGCACACATACACAATACACAAAGCCGCACACGGTAATTGGTTTTTCCTCCTCCACAAAGGCACGGACGCAATCGCACACTGACACACGCCGCTGTCCATTCGACTCAAAAAAGGGATGCTCGCAACCCTTCTTCTCCCGCTGTCCCACGTTCGCAATTGCAGACGTGGACTGATACGACTCGTCGCGTCGCGGAGCACAGTGTTGTCCCCCTCCCCGCGCCCTACCCAGCCCTCCGAAGTCTTGAATGAAAAAAATTCACCTTCATTTACTAAGCCGTCGATTCACAATCTTATTTCACTGGGGCTCCATCGCCACCACCAACTATTGCTAGTATGGCTACCAATAGAACGAGTGCTAACCAACTTACCATTATCACGGATTTTTGTGTTTTTCTCCTTTCCTTCCGACTTGCTTTTTATTCTTCCTCTTATTCTTTCGACCGTGACCAGCGTCCGCAATCCACTACCGCCCTGTTCGTAGCGCCTGGTCACGTTCATCACCACCATCATCATCACCACTCTTCCAGGTTTCCGAACGACTAAACAGCGACTGAACAGCACTGAACACGAACACGTTAAGAGGGTCCCCCCTTTCGCACATCCCTGACACGCTCAATCCGACTGCACCCAAGGGGGACGCTGTTTACTTGCAGGCAGCAGGCAGCTGCCCGCGGGGCCGGGAGGTTCTATTTTCCGCAGGATGCTAGGAGGCAGCTCCCCCATCCACCACCACCCCAGTGCGGAGACCTAAACGGGGCCCCCGCAGTGGCGGCACCCGGGATGTGCACTCGGGGGAAGGGGGGAACATTGGCGCCTTGGGGGCCCTTCGAACACAATCAGAGCTAGGGGCAGAGCAAACAACAACACTGTTGACAACAGCAAAGGGTTCTTTCCTTTGGAGGAGAGAAGTTGGCTCCCCCCTCCCTGGACGGCACTCGCGAGCTACTGCCACTCGCCAAGCCCCTCCGCTACAGCCTGGTGAGGTGAGCAGAGAGAGGTCGGGAAGGACAGCAGCAGCACAAGGTACTTAAGGGCTACTGCAGCTGTACGTACATGCATACGTACATGCATACCGCGCGAAACCGGGGGAAAGCGGAAACGTTAAACCAACGGAGCTCCGCAAAACGCAAAAGTAGGGTGGCTACAATTTGGCTTGGGTACATGAAAGCAGAAAGACACACAGCTGATGCTGACTACCTTACGTACATACATACATACATAGCGACATTGTCGTGGTAATAATCTTCAGGACCAGGTGGTTATATATGCTGTGACGCCCCCCTCCCCCTCCTCCCCCCATCTTCCCCCCCGCCTGTAAGCACCTACGCCACCCCACCACCTCACCGCTCATGGCTCACTTGCTCGCTCCCCCCCGCTTGCGAGCGAACGTCTCCGCAATTGCGTCCATGAAGGGCTCCGTGTTGAGGTACTGGTTGGGGGCGACCTTAGAGGTGCCGTGCACACAGATGGCCAGGTCCTTAGTCATGTGACCCAACTCGATGGTCTCAATCACTGCCGCCTCCAGGTCCTGTACGGTAGTACGGAGACAGAGAGAGAAGGGAAGAGGTTCCCCGCAGGGAGAGCGCGGAAAGTGAGTGTGTGTATGTGTGTGTGCAAATGGAAAGTGAGGAAAGCGGGGAGGAAAACGAACCACGAGCGAGTGAAGCTGATGCCAAGGAAGGACTGATGCGCCAGAAGTAGGAAGTAGGAAGGCGTAATAACCGGTCGGCGGGGGGCAAGGGGGGATGTGGCGACCAGGTATACAGCCGTCAGTTCTTCCAGTCAGTGTGTTGGCGTACATACAACAAGACATACATACATACATACATACATACATACATACATACATACATACATAGACGGCAAGTTACCTGGCACCACTGGATGAGCTCCTGGTTGCCGTCCAGCTTGCCGCGGTGCGCGAGTCCACGGGTCCATGCGAAGATTGATGCGACAGGGTTGGTGCTGGTGGGCTTGCCCTTCTGGAACTCACGCCAGTGCCGGGTGACAGTGCCTGGCGGCCGGAAGGGGGGAGACCCGGGGGGCCGAGAGTAGGGGGTTTGAGAGGGTCACACACGATGAGGGATAACGATGGCGATAGTGGCGATGAAGATGAGGATGCTAATGATGGCGATGAGGATGGCGATGAACAAAAGAGTCCAACTGCCGACGTCCGTCGGAAAGGGGGTTGTGGAGGAATATCAGCACCTGGGGTGGGGGTAAGTACTCGGCAGGCGTACCTTCCCTCCCGTCCCCTCCCACCCCCCCCATCTCGTTCACACAGCCGACCCGGGTAGAGCCCCCTCCCTCCCCCGCTCCCTCCCTCTTGCCACGCACCCACCCACCGACTCACCGTGCGCCGCCTCCGCCTCCACCGTCTTTCCATCCGGGGTAACTAATACACTGGTCATAAGGCCCAGGGAGCCGTAGCCCTGAGCCACAATGTCGGACTGGACATCGCCGTCGTAGTTCTTACACGCCCACACGAACCCGCCATTGGACTTGAGGGCCTTCGGTGGGGTGGGGAGTGGGTGAGGTGGGGTGGTGGTGAGTGTCCTCAGTGGGTATCAGGGAAAGGGGGTTGTAGGGCTTTAGGACAAGAGATGCCACAACACAGCACAACACAACACAGCACAACACAACACAGGAAGACGCTTAGCAGGGGTCTAATGTTTTGTGCTGGTTGTGGTGTTATTGTTGGTGGTAAGGAAAACTCCGGTGTACTTCCTCAAATCAAAGACTCAAGGGGACATCGCAGCGAGGGGCGTGACGGGGTCCCTAAGATACACAGTGCTACAAGCGCGGAGCCCCGGTTCTACGTACTGGGGGCCTCCCTCCCCCCCCTGGAAAACCCCCCGATGTAACGAATCTCGAAACCCCACGTCCAACCCCAACCCCCACCCCCACCCCCGCGACCCACCTGCGCCACCATGTCATCAATCAGACGGTGCTCGTACCAGATACCCATCGCCTCGTACTGCTGCTTGTACTGCGACTCGTACGTCTCAGCGAAGATCTGCAGGAACCTGCGACAACCACCAGCCAACGGGGCCGAGTGTTGACAGCAGCAAGAGCGGTACGACATACACACAGGCCCCCCCCCGGATAACTGAGCCCGGGGGACGTCATGTTGGGTGTACATCACAGCCGCTATCAAGGAGCGAGTGACTGCTGTAGTCCGTGTATTACTGGGGGACCAGATCAACCCCGGCGAGGGTTCACCGCCTGTGCTTTAAAAGCACAGGCGGTCGGCGTGTCGGCGCTGAACTCCCCCCCAAGCCTCTACTTCAATCGTTAGTGGTTCGCCTTAACCCCCCTCCTCACCCCCTCCTCACCCCCTACCTGCCATCGTAGGCCTTCAGAATGGTGTTCTTGGTGGACAGGTACAGCGGCCACTTCTTCTGGAGCGCGTATTCGAAGCACGAGCTGGCGAACCCGCGAATGGACTCCTCGGTGTTGTACATAGCCAGTGCGACACCCGAACCCTGAAGGGAGGTGTAGGGGGGGAGAGGGGAGGTAGTAGGGGGGAGGTCATGTTGCTGGAGCAGAGGGTCAACTGCCGACTGGGTGGGAAGGGAAGGGGCGGGGAGGGGGCGCCTAACCCCGGCCCCGCACACGGGCGGCTACTTGCAGGTACACCTGCGCTGCTGGGTGGGGTCCTACACACACCCCGGGACTCTGAAGTCAGGGCGCAGACACCCCACCCACCTCACCCCACCCCGCCGCACCTCGAACTTGAACACCTCAAACTTCCTCGCCGGTCCCCCGTCCGCCGGGGTGAAGGACAGCTCCAACTTGCCCGGGCCATCCACCACGAAGTCGGTGGCCTTGTACTGATCACCGAAGGCGTGCCTGGGGGAAGGGGAAGAGGGACGGGGAGGAGGGGCGGGAGGGAGGTCTACAATACATGAGGGTGATGCAAGGGTCCAAGAAACACTGGCCCCGTACAAAGCACTAATCGCCAAACGGTTGATCTGCTTATCATCGTCGTTGGTAGGGGGAAGGGGAGGGGAGGGGAAAAGTACTCCGGGTTATAATAGACCGGAGCCATGCGCCATGGTGGGGCGGGCAGGCGGGAGGGCGATAGGGGGAAGACGCACTGCAGACGAGTGATGCTGATACCAATACCAAAGATAGATGGATACACCAGGGATATACATATACTGCGGAAAGTTGTGAGAAGCTACCGACCAGTGATGACTTGGGGGAAGTAGTCATCGCGGCGAGTGGCCAGGTAGATTGCGAAAGCATGTATCTAGCTGCCGAGGATGGAGGGGGATTGAGGAAACGAATATAGGTACGGGGTAGCTGTCTGTCTGTCTGTCTGTCAGTTTGTGTACGGCTCACGGGCCCCAGGACCCACCTGCCCACCACAATGGGTTTGGTCCACCCGGGTACCAATCGGGGGATGTTCTTGATGACAATGGGCTCACGAAACACAGTGCCGTTCAGGATGTTGCGAATGGTGCCGTTGGGGCTCTTCCACATCTATGAAAAAAGACGGGGGGTGATGGGTAGAGGATAGAGGGGGGGTTGGGGGAGAGAGAAGGTGCCAGGCGCAAGGGAGGAGGTGAATGGGGTAGGGGGAGGAGGCCGAAACAGAGATTGCAGGGTTTTTGACCAGGGACGCCGATTTATACAATTTCGTTTTATGTAAATTAATTATGTTACTTATTTGAACTGGACAAACAACCGCAGCACATGCACATGGGCACGTGTATGTGCGTCATTCCCCTTTCCCCTCATGTGGGTGAGGGCTGCCGGTGGACTAATAACGGAGGGTCTGCAGGGCAGCTGCCAAAGGCGGCTGCGGCTGCGGGTGAGCGGAAGTCCAAGTGTGGATGGGGCGGCGGGGGGTTGGCAACCCGAGTGCTGCCGCGGGACTTCCGGATCGTGGTGTTTGTACTAGTTGTCGTACCTTCTTCAATCCGAACTCCTTTACACGGGCCTCGTCTGGGGTGATGGTGGCGCACTTGATACCAACATTGTGCTCCTGACGAAGAGGCGGTTGGGAGTTAAGGACGGGGTTTCGGATTGGTGGGACTTGTGGGAGAGGGAGTTGGGAAGAACGAATGAAATCAGATCTGACATAATTTACGGCGAAAAGCGATAAAGGGGATAGATACTTCAAGCGGACACAGCAATTGGCGAGCGAATAAGGCCGATGGATTACTGCTCAAAGGAAACTTGACTATTCTCACTGGGAAGGGTGCGCTAGTTGGGTTGGAAACGTGGCGTGAAACACGCTGAAGGAAAGGCTGTAGGATTCGCCATGGCAACGTAGAGCGCTTACCGTTTTCCATGTGAACAGTATGACCACGTTATGCGTGGAGGACATTTGTCTGGCCTAGCTACTCTGGCGTATTGCCCCTTAATGGACTTGACATCCCGCACCTTGATCGCGTACGCGGCCTCCTCAGTGACTTTATCATTGGTTTTGTCGCGGTTAGGAAGGCCAAGGTCAAAGTAGATAATCTTCAAGTCCAAGTAAGGCTTAATAAGCTGCAGCAAAACAGCAACACGGGACGCGGGGTTTGATTGTCAAGCACTGACGCAAAGGTTGACCACGCATCCGGCAGGACGCTACGCTCAGCAGCAACGATGATTCGCACCTTGTCCTTTATTTGCTGCCAGATCACGCGCGTCATCTCATCGCCATCGAGGTCCACCACTGGGTTTGCGACAGTGATTTTGGTCGCCATCGTTCGCACGCCTGAATACAGGACCGAAGCGCCAGGCGGTAAGAGCCTGGCAGGTACATCTCGCCGTAGATACTTGACAGCGAGGCATTCAAAGCGTGAGACCGGCTGTGTAACCGTGCGACTGGCGGCGTTTCGGAACAGCGCTTTTCCGAGACACGCCATTATCCTGTACCTGTCTGGGCAGCTAGAACAGGGTTCAAGCAAGCGTAGTGGGACTGTTGCTGCAAGAGACCAAGAGCACGTGTAGCACCAATCAAGGCCTTCATATTTGCTCTTCTGTGTAGCAGGATGACGCAATAACCGCCGCTTCGAACCCCAAAAGTCACGCCACGACTTCCAGTAAATTACACACAGTACTTGCTAACAATGTCACTTCGTGCATGTAATCTATCCTACCTTCGACTCCGGAACGGTCTCAATCGCTCCGAAGTCAATGCTCACAGTCTGAGTCAGGTGTCCGTGAGTTGACACAATCCAGCTGCCAATCGGATCGTTGCTGGGCCAACTAAAAACACGTGTTCAATAATATTTCCAATAACTTAAACCTCGACCTTTCTTGTTAGGCCTACTCCTTCTCTCCCTATCCGCCGATACGTCTGGATCTAGGCGCCGCTGTTGCGGAATGATTTACCAAACTGCATTCCAAATGCTTACAGCTGCGGTACAAGGGAGGGCGCGGAGCATGTCTCTCGCCAAAGTACACCACGCAGCTTTAAGCTTATCACACGCTCTCCTTATGGTGCTACCAATGACCAAGAAAAAACACGCATGGATGATGGCATCCGTCAGAGACGTGCAAAGCCAAGTTGCCCCGTATACGCAGAATGAGGAAGACTGCGTGGCTGTTATCGACACAGAACGGAGTGAAAATTTTGGAATCAAGTAGCACAGCGTTTATGGTCTGCGACCGGGTTGTGTAACTAGATAGGCTTTATCTGTGGGGTGTTAACCTGCTGCCATTCCTTTACGGTCACCACTTCCACCAGGGCCGCTTCATTTCGAGGATGCGCACCCGCCATGAGCAGCAGCGCGCACTTCAGGCCACTTCAGCGCGATCAGGCCAATCTCCGATATATAAACACAAAAGCTGCCCACGCCCAAACTTGTTGCACAAGATGGTTTTCCCGCCTTCTTACGGACTACCGCACCACACGCGCCCGTCCATTGCTGCACATCTCACCCTGCCGGCCTTTGGACCGCACTTCCAAACCTATATGTCAGCTCCCACACACATAATCACCGGCTTACAAGCTACATCCCAAACACGGAACGGAAAAGAAGCAACATCTCTCTCTCTCAAGGAACAGGTCTGCCAAACAGGTACTATCTGCGCCTTGCTGCCTTACAAGTGGTACAAGGTAAAAGAAAGATAACGAATCGCATCCCCCCCAATCCCTTGGAAAGAACCCAGTTTAATGACGCTGCAATTAAATGTCGCCTCTATACCGAAATAGAATTCCTGCTAATACGTACAACCCAGAAATTGTACGGGTGATTTAGCAAGTACGGCAAAATGATCACGTGTTGCAATTTGACGCTGGCTAGTTCTGTTCTACGTGGCACACCCTCCGGGGTTGTCAGCGTTGGCTGCCAGTCAATCTGCACCCCGCGCTGCTTCACTCCTTGCCATTGCCTCAGCAATAACCCCTCTAGTCTTCCCTTTGTTGCTGCCTCCCTACTGTTGCAATCACCACCATCGCCATAACTACAGGTACTACAGCTATTACTACTACTGCCTGCTGGGGTGTACCTCTCTTCTCAACCCACGCACCTTAAAGTGACGATATCCCCCACTTCAGCAGCCCCCCCGTGATGTACGACTACAAGCATGTAACCACCACTCCATCGCTCTCTCAGACCCATGTGCGCGTCTGTGTGTGCGTGTGTCCGTCCCAGTGATCTGCCACCCTGGGGGTCCCCAACAACTGCGGGAGAACCGCGAGGGAAGGGGGGGAAGAGACGCAAAACCCCCGCAGCCCATGTCCCACGGCGGGGGCATGCCAGCTGCCGCGCTCAAAGCCCCAACGAGGCGGGGGGAGACGGCGCTCCGCCACTCCGCCACGTACTGCAGTGGCATCCTACCAGGCCCCCAAACGGCCCCTCCCTTGATCAATGCAGTGGAAGTACTCAGCCATCGTCGCTAGCTGGCGGGGTTGATCAGCCCCCGACATCACACAGCCTCCACGCGGCTGGCCGGTAGCGGGCCCTGCTGGTCTCCTCCCGCCCCCTCACCACCTACCGCATGGCAGCGATGCTGCCGCAGCTGCACTGCGATGTAGCCTAGCTTGGGCCAAACTGAGGACTTCAACCCAGACCGTCCTCATCCTCTTCATCTGCTGTCGCAGCTCAATCAACTCACGCCGTCAAAAACTCACGTCTATGTCCAGCCGCCGGGGGCAGCTGCTGCCGAGTGCTTGGCATCGGTGGCAAGCCGCTTAGCAGTGGATCCCCTAGATCCCCGGTCGTGACGCCGCACCACTGCCCCTCGCATCCACTGCGAGTCCATGCAACCGCACCGATGAAAGCGATGAACCCGAATCCTATGAAGTCTTATCATAAGACAAGACTCTGCTGCCACCATTACCCCCTTTACCCCCCTTATCTCATCCCCACATACACCAAGTCGCTTATCTCACCCCGCACAACCACCCTGCGCAGTCCAGTTCTCTTCCAGGCGGCCCACAGGGCCTTCGCGAAGCACAGGCGGCAAACAGCAAGCCGACTCGGCGAAGGCGGCTCAAGGTCAAAACCCTCAAACCCTAGATCCCTTCCCCATTCATCCCTTACCCCTCGCCTCCAGCTTAAGTGGAGGAGGATCGATAGGTTTTTTCCCGCAGAGTTAAACAACTCTCCGGATATAAATAAATGAACTCGAGCACCAAGGGATGCTCCGCTAGCGCCCAGAAACACGCTCGAGCCAACTCGTGGCCCAGGTGTTGGGGCCGGAGCAAGCAGAGAGGAGAGCTGCGGGAAGGGCGGCGGTCGCGGCCGCACCGGCAGCAAAGCTACCCTCCGAGCTCCGTCGTATCCTCAGCAGCTCCGCGGGACTGGGCGGCAGTAGCAGGCCGTTCTCCAGCCAGGACCTCAGCTGGGAGACCTCCACCAACCGCGTCTCCATGGCTACATCAAGCCAGTCGTAATGCCGCCGCCCCGGCTCAACAGGAGCCGGACATTGCTGCTGTTCCTCCTGCTGCTGTTGCGTTTGCTGCTCCTGTTGGCGCCTAACCTCGTGGCACCGCGGCGGCAGCACAGCCGATGCGCCGGCCGGCGCAACAGATGGTGATGCTGGCAGTAGTGGTGTTGCTGATGGTGCAGGCTCTGCTACTGCCGTTGCCCGTGTTACTGCGCCTTGGGAGGACGAAAGCGCAGCTTCAGCAGTCTCAGCGGAGGACCCACTGCCGGAGTGAGAGGTCGCGACGCGCATGGGAACATCGCCGTCACCACCTGGCTCGGAGCTCGGCTGTGTGTTGGAGGAGCTATCACCAGCTGGCACCCGCCACCAATCCTCACACGCACGAAGCGTGTGGAGCAGCACTATCAGATCCGGCCTCGGATGCAATCCGTCGGGACCGAAACACCACTCCAAGCCCTCCCAAAGTGACGACCCGCAGCCAGGCACCTGCACGCTGTTGCCGCCATCCCCAACCGCCCCAGCAGAGCACTTGTTGCTGCTACTGCTAGCCGCCACGTCGCCGTCGTCGTCGCCGCATAGGTCGATTACGGGCTGTCCGGCTTGCAGAGCGGCTGCCATGCGGCGCGGCAGCATAACCGCCAGCGCGAGAACAGACTCGTAGAGCAGTAACCCCACGCCTGCTGGGGTCACACGCTTGCCTGCCTGGCCCTGGGACTTGGCACGAAGCCATGCCATCAGGTCGCGCAGCAACCCAAAGACGTCAATACTATTCAACAGGAAGTCCTCCCAGCTATCGACCCCAAAGCGCAACACCACCGCCTCTGCGGCCTGCCTAGCTTTGACGGTAGCCACCTCAGTAGCCGTTACATCCACCTCTCCAGCCGTTACATCCACCTCAGTAGCCGTTACGTCCACCTCAGTAGCCGCTCCGCTACCGCTATCGGCACCGCCGCCAGGCACGACTTCCCCAACGCAGGCACTTGCCATAAAGGCGAGGACCGGGATCCAGTGCAGCAGCGGCACCACCTCCGCAGGCAAAAACAACAACCTCGGCTTAGAGTCATTCGGCCGGACCGAATATTTGGTTGCCGCACGGAACAGCTTGACGTATGCTGGGAGAACACGCACGGCGATGTACGATAGGACAGGGTCCGCTCCTCGTTTGCCGAGGTCGCCGGCAGCAGCCGCGCTCGGTGAAGTCGACGCTGGGAGGCCCGCCGTGGACGTGCTGACGTCCTTGCAACTACCGTTGTCGCGAAGAATAGCAACACCCAGCTCCGCATCGCCGTCAGTGTTTCTGGCCGCGGTGGCGGCGACAGCGGCTTGGCTGGCGGGGACGCTGGCACCACCATCAGCTTGGCCAGAGGCGGCGGTGGCGGCGGCGGCGGTGGCGGCGACAGCAGCATGGCTGGCGGGGACGCTGGCACCACCATCAGCTTGGCTAGAGGCGGCGGTGGCGGCGGCGGCGGTGGCGGCGACAGCAGCATGGCTGGCGGGGACGCTGGCACCACCATCAGCTTGGCTAGAGGCGGCGGTGGCGGCGGCGGCGGTGGCGGCGACAGCAGCATGGCTGGCGGGGACGCTGGCACCACCATCAGCTTCGCTGGCAGTAGCGGTGACAGGGACGGCAACATGGCTGGCGGCAGCGGCATCGCCATCAGCTTGGATAGCGGCGGCGGCGGTGGCGGTGGCAGGGATGGCAGCATGGCTCGCAGCAGCAGCTTCCCTGGCTAACCGCAAGCGACTGTTCTCTGCTTGTGCAGCCTCCGCTGCCGGGCCCGTAGCCGTCTCTTGCGCTGCAGCTACAACCTCTGTCGCACAGCCCTCAGCCAGCTGCGCCTTGCGGACATGGACCAGGCCGTTACTCTTCTCGCTACAGAGCAGGAGCCCGTCAGCGCACGCGATAAACCGCCCTGCTCTGTTCACCCGAGTGGATGACGGTGTCGGCTCCGTTGGTGCCGGATTCATCCCTTGGCGACACCCTACGTCGACGGCGTCGCCGATGTTCACAGCCGCCTGCCGTACCTCATCCGCGATGAAGTCCAACAACGTGATGACGTCAGGCAGCGGCGTAAACGCCAGCAGCTGGTGCCACCCCGTCCGCGTGGTCTTCTTCGGCAGCACCTCCCCAAGGAAGACCAGGCTCTGCGAGCGAAGCAGGTAAGGGTATGCGCAGGCAGGACGAGGGAGGTGTGAGGGAGGTGTGAGGGAGGAGGTGTGAGGGAGGTGTGAGGGAGGAGGTGTGAGGGAGGAGGTGTGAGGGAGGTGTGAGGGAGGAGGTGTGAGGGAGGTGTGAGGGAGGGGATGCGGACCACTGGCGAATGGAAGGGGAATGGAAGCGGGAATCATTTGCACCAAGCCAGTGAAACAGCTGCCGCCGTCCCAAGGCCTATGTGACCACCTCCCGCATGTAATGCCCTCCTCTTATATGGACTTATAAGAGGAGGGCAATAAGTCCATATAATTGCCCTCCTCGCAATTGGGCAAGGAGGGCAATTATATGCCCTCCTATAATATAATAGAGGGCGAATCCCTCCCACACATGTTATAACGCTGCTCATGGTGCGGCAGTTGCAATCCAGAGCGCGAAAGGACACATCGTGTGACACCATGGGGTATATGCCTGGACACGTGCGCTACGTGACGCTCTTGTCACGTGTGTTAATTGCGGGATCGCTTTCATGCAACGTAATTTCGTCCACCAAAATGGTGTTGACAGAACATAAAACGATCATATCAGACTGCAATACTACGGCATGTACGGCACCTTGGCAAGACAGAGCGCATCAGGTTACGTGAGAAGCAGCGCCTATGGGCACGCGAAGGGGGTTTAAGACGAACCACTGGCGATCAAAGTAAATACCAGAGATGACGGATACTCAAGGACGACAGGACTACAGAATTGGCGTGTGATGGGGTGGGCGGGCAGATGGTGGCCAAGCAGCAGCAGCTCCCCCCTTTCCCCCCCTACCTGGGGGTCCTCTGTCTTGCACACGAAGCGCAGCAGACCGGCCAGGGCGGGGGCGTACGACGCGGCGATGGCAGCCGCCACATCGGCACTGGGCGTCTTGGGTGGGCAGTCTGGGTGGAGGGGGGAGGGGGGTTAGACGAACCACTGACAATTGAAACAAATACCAGAGATGAGAGGGTGGAGGGGTGGAGCGGGAAAAAGGAGGGAAGACAACTACCAACAGTGTCCCCTCTGCACCATACAAAAGAGAGGGCCGCCGAGCAGTCACCTGGGAGCTGCTCCCTCGCATGCTGCACTCCCAGCCGCCCACGCCAACACAAGGTACACTATATACATACATAAATATAAATGGAAGGAAAGCGAAAAACCAAAATCGCGAACCTTTGGGCAGTAGATAGATAGGTAGACAGACAGATAGATAGAGGAGATAGAGAAAAGGATGTTAGCCAGGCGGGAAAGAACACGAAGCCAAAGACGCCTACAGGGTGCAACACTTGACAGCCGAGCTCAGCAGCAGTTGCTTAAAGGTAACAACACACGCAACAAGTACACCACCACTCACTGCAGCCCCTTCCCCTCACTCCCAGTTCCAGCCTGCCCACCAGTCCCTCCCCCCGTCCCATCCCCTCACTCCCCCCCCACCAGCATCGCCACCGCTCCCATCCAGGGCCACCACAGCCGCCAGCTGCCGCCACTCCCACATCTCCAGCACACGACGCAGACTTTGCCCAAACATGCCCACCCTGACCAACGCCCACGACAGCCGGTGCCGCCAGCAGCCCGCCATTTGCTGACCCGCACACGCAGGGAGCTCCAGACGGACCGCCAGACCGGACAGAAAGCTGCAAGCGGATTTCGAGCACAACAGGGCCTCCAGCGCCAAAGAGGCCGCCGCAGCGGATGTCATAGACAGGCCAGGAGTCTGCTGCTGCTGCGGCGGCGGCGGCTGCGAGAGCTGCGGCTGCGAAAGCTGCTGCTGTAGCTGTAGCTGCTGGAACGGCCATGACGAAAGAACGGCGTGATGTGGGACGACGACCTCCCAAGCGGCCGCCGCCAGCCGCAAGCAAATGTCCAGCACCGCCATGGCGTCCAGCGGCGGTGCGACCATTGCCGCCGCTAGCCGCTGCATTCGGCGCTCCTCCGCACGGGACTCGATAGCCGCACTTTCCATAACGCCCTTCAACGAGGTCAACCACTTGACCTCAACATCTTGAGTGGCGGCTCGCAGCTGCCCAATCAGATCGTCAATGACACATTCATTCGGGGAGAAGGTGTCGAAATAGCGGAGGACAGGGGCCATAAAGCGCACGTAGTCGCAGCAGGCCCGACGTAGCGAACATCGCGTCGCTGGCCGTGGCACGCTGGCCGTCAGCGCGGCGGCGGCGGCAGCGACGGGAGTGGTTGCTGCTGCTGCTCCTGGTCCCGTTTTCGACGCCAAAAAGTCCTGCGTGACCCTGTGCACGTTCGCCAACCCTTCCAGCAACGGTTTGAGTTGCGTCGTAGAAAGGAGTCCTTCCGCCTCGGTTTGCAAGGTGCATGACCAGACCCAAAGCGCCGTAGACGCCATGTGCAGCGCAGACGACGTCTCGCCGAGACTCTGCCATGCTTGGCGGGACCGCGGGATTACCGTACCGCTCGCTGGGGCTCCACCGTCACTACGGACGCCGGCGGCACTTCCGCCGCCCGGCGGTAGCAGGGGCCGCAGCAGCGGCGCCGTCCAGCCCGCCGCTGTCTGCGGAAGCCCGTACGCGCCGTCGCCATCCAGTGCAGCGCATAGCTGGGTGATGTGCGCGGACAGGAGGAAGGCCAGGCTGGGGTTGGCGGACAGCGCTGGGCTCGTGCTGGGAGTGGTGGGGGTGAAAACAGTGTACCTGATGGCATGGAGGGATGAGAAGAACGCATCCAGCAGGCCTTCCGCTTCGTGGTCGTAGCCCTCGCATCGTGCCAGCAGCAGCACCCCCCTACACCAAAACTCCAACAATCCGCTCGAGGGCAGCTCCGTTCCCAGGAAGGCCGCCAGCTCGTCCTCCACCTCGGATTCCACGTGTTCAGACATCTCGTATACCTCCCGAAGGAAGTACACCACGTCTCGTGCCTCGCCAAGCAGCTCGGAAAGGATTTGCACTACGCGGCGGTTGGGTGAGAGGCGTTCCCCCGCCGCATTGCCATGATGTAGGCCCTGAAGCTGTGTCGCAAGGGGCTGGATCGCATCTGATAGGAGCGCGGCGTAGCAGCGCAACAGGTGCCCGGCCAGCAAGCCCAAGGCAAGGCTGCGCGCGTCGCGCTTGGAGAGGTGGCCTTCGACGTCATCGACCACATACGCCAGCTCCGTGGCAAGCTTGCTGCGGAGTTTTGTGTGTGGCTGGCGGAGGTTGTCGGAGAGATCCGGCGTCAGCGAGGTACAGGAGCATCGGACAGCAACGCCGTAAAGCGCTACAAGGCTGGCCAAGCCGCCGCCCTTGGCAAGGGCTGCCCATACACCTGGCGTTGTACACTTGCTCACTTTCGAAGCCCTATGGATTAGGACGCTCACATCATCCTCGGCTGTGCTCAATTCGGTTAGTGAAAAGCCTTCATTCCCGCTTTGTAAAGCTTTGACGCCCAGAGCTTTCAAGCGGTTCACAGCGCGATCCCATGCCCGTTCATACGCGGACTGGGCTCCCCGTTTTAGGCGAGCTGTACGCGGGGGCATTTGGACCGAAAACAGGACTGTAGCTTATTGAACCAGTAATCATGCGTACATCACATCAATTTCGCACTCGCGGACTCGCTGCCCAGGTTTCCATTCCTAGCAATGCCCCGGTGCCTTTTGGATATTATTCATCGGCTAGCAAAGCTCGCCTGTCCATATCCCAATTCATATTTGACATGACGGTTTGATAACATAGCAGCACAACATATAAACCTGCTAATCAATGGCATCGCAAGTCTCAACCGTTACCTGTCCGGCATAGATTGGCCCAAGGCCCCTAACTGCCTCAGGTCGTTAGTCACAATTCACAGGCAAAAAGTTAAAAGGTTTCAGACACGGAGCTTGTAAACATCCTATAATTTGAGCCTGCAAACCGTTTTAGCCAGGCCTTGTTTCTTCTCGTTCGCTGTAAAGGGCATCCTTCTTGTCCTCTCATAGAATGGGACAACCTTGCAATTCTTCCTCCAAAATGAGCCACTCTAAGCATTGAATTACAGCCACTCTAAGCATTGAGTTACAGCCACTGTAAGCATTGAACTACAGCTGGATCAACGTTCGGCTTTACCCTTGAGCACCCGTCAACCTCGCGGGACCTCTCAGCGCTGTCGTGGCGCTGGCGGTTGGGACTTGCTCCTCGCTACATCTGGGCATACTTGTGTGTATGCACACAAAGTATTGAGAAGCTAGGCCGTCATTTCCCGTCGTTCCTTAGGGCGCCACACGTAGTATCCAAAAGCTGCGGCATAGGTGGATGGAATCGCGTTGACCGTTCGCGGCGCGATATGCTCTGCGCTCTGGCCGGGTTAGGGATGGGCTTGATGTCCTGACGTGGTGAGACTACAGTCCCGAGCAAATCCGTATATTTCTAAATCTAAAACGTGTGGACAACTTGCGAGCGTCGTGCCATGGGCCCCAGGTGATCCGGAGGGACGTCTACTCCCGAATCTCTGCCCAGCGGGTCTCTAGCGGCGTGGCAGTCCCCGTGGCGGCAACACCTCCCCCCGAAACACAAGTATGTACCCCCACCCCTCGAGTAGTGGGATAGTGGGAGCTGCACCAACGGTTGGGAACCAAAACACACACACCAACGCAAGGGGCGGAAATCGGTATCAGGCTCCTGCCTTTGCAGCGCCAACCAAAAGCTCCTCCTCACATGCATCACTATCTTTTGCCCCGAATTTTTCTAACGTTGCGATAGGGATATGTATCTGGTGCGAAGCTGCCGCCGCCGCCGCTGCGCTTAACCTTTCCGCTTTACCGTTCTGTTGGGGGATGTACGGGGCGGAAAATTCATGCCTAATACCCCGTTGTTTGCAGAATTCCTTTATTTTTGCGTTCACGAATTCACCACCTCCGTCGGTTCGCATGCCCTGTAAAATAGAGCCACTTTGAACTTGTAGCAAATTTACGCCCCTCTCAATGAAGTCCGGGACATCAGACTTATGCTTAATGGGCTGCACCAACGACACCCCAGTATAGTCATCCAACAGAGTGACGAAATACCTATGGCCACTCGAGGACACAGGCAAAGGACCACATACATCTAAATGCACCAACTGCAACGGTCTCTTAGTTACCGTTGGGATGACAGACTCAACAGGCCTGGAGGATTCCACAGCGGGTACCGCACTACTCATGAACTTGTAAAGGCCTGACGCACATTTAGTAGCAGAGATGTGCGTGCCTCCCCTCGATATAACTGCCTCCGAGTCCTCAAAGCTAATCCTAAAGCCCAACCCACGCGCGTCACACCGCAGCTTCCACTTTATCGGCTCGACGCGCAGTGGGCCCTATCGTTCTCTGTACCGTCCCCTACCGTACACGACCAACCAGCTCCAGACTGAAATCCCAGGCTGTTAAGGGATTTCCAGCCCACCGGCAGTACCCATCAGCACCAGAGGGGTCTACAGCCGGGCACGGGGCACAGGCACGGGGCACAGGCCGGGGCTGATGGCAGCCCCGTCCTTCGTCGATTTGCAGTACATCAGCCCGTTGTCGTACTCTCACACCCATCTGGGCAGGACAGGGCGGCGAACGCATCACGGTCACATGCCTCAACTTCACCGATGTCTCTTCCCCTTGCCCCCCATCCGGGCATGGTGTGTCATTCTCTGCATCGCGAGGCAGGAAAACAGGTGTTCGATCCAGCCGGGGTGAGGCCATTGTCAGGCACCCATGATGGCTCGAAGATGACCGCTGCTGTGTTGAAGTCCAACACCTGAGACAACCCTGTCCGCTTGGCTTTTCAAGACACTCAGGGCGTCCAAAAGTCCAAAACGTTGTCCTGGTCTGCCGTGGAAAGGGCACCGCTACAGCTGCATTGGTGAATCGTCAACCAGCCATTAAAACCAATTTAATGCGCGCCCTTAATAAGTACAAGAGCATGAGGAGTTTCGCAAGGGTTGTGAGTTGTGATTGGGTTCGGCTAAGGGGTCACGGCAAACAAAAACCAGGTCACCAGCAACAACTAATTACGGGAAATTTCCACAGGGAAACTAAAGTTTCACAGGGAAAATTTCATTGCCATGCAACTTTTAGGTCACATAATGTTGTCCTTGTCGACCTACGCGATGACAGGGTGACACAATTACCAGAAACCGGAACCACCCAGGGATCAATAACCTATCACCTGATCGCCATTTAAGTGTATATATGCAAGAGGAAATCATGCTAGGACCTGTCTTGTTGCGATCAGAAGGAAAGGTCAAACAGCTTGTGACCTACTCAACGGCATAATCGACGGAATGTCGGAGCGCTTGCGTGACCCTTTGCGGCACGAAGCAACTGCTCGTGAGCACTCCAAACATCTTGACGCAAACCCCACACATTTATATGACACTCTGGAAAGCGTGACAGAGTGCTTGCGCAGGTGCTTGCGCCCACCTAGGCCCTCCTGCGACATTGTCAAATCTGTGAAAATGCGTGATCACATGAACTCTGTCATTTCTATTTTCATATAAAACATGCGTACCTCTCATTACTTTTGATAGGCTGGAGGCATCACGCGTAAAGCATACCGTACTGCATAGTGCATGCGTAACTAAATCAAATAGATTATCTTCTTGAGGCAGCTACCAGGATATGTTTATCCAACCTTATGCTACAAAGGGAAGAGGCACGCAGGGGTGCAACTGCCGGCAACATGTTCGTTTGTACAGCACGCCACCTCTCCCTAGCGATCGGCACCGTGCACGTACGCAGCTAGCTTAATAGGCTCCATAATTGTTTGAACCGTTGTAATGATGTCGTAACGTTTAAACGGTTACCGGGCAGGGGTGGCGCCTTGGTAATTTCAGTCGACCTTACAGCTTGCAAATATCATATACAAAAATACAATATCTGTATGGATACTGGTTACACCATGTGGTGCGAACATAATGCTGTAAGGAGCCCCTAACCACGGTAGTTGGCAGTATCGCACGCCGACTGGACTTTCACTTCGCTATTGGCAGGTCGCGGTGAGTCCATTGATGTCGTGTATATGTTGCATTACTCTTATTACTTCATAATGAGGAGGTGGCTTTCAGAGGTCTAAATGTCGGTCGCGATGAAGGCCTCTCAACCGCTATTCCATTATGTTAGTTGATATAAGAAGCCACATAGGGGAAGCGCATCGTTTTGCCGCTAATGGGTTGCGCAGATCTGCTGTTGGTTAACAACTGCGGCTGCCTTGCCCTTTTTAGTGACAAGAGGGATAACTGCCACTCTTTCTTTTTCCGACCCACATGCCCGTTTCCCGTGCATAGGGCAGTCGCTGGCTTGCAACGTGAGAGCAACTGGAAAAGGCAGGCAGGAGGGCGCAAGGGGCTGTAGATAAGGGATAGAGCGGCAGCTGCAGCAGCAGCTGCAGGAGCGACAGCACCAGCAGCATCAGCACTAGCATCGCAAGGAGCAGCAGCTGCGGCAGCAGCAGCGTCACCCATTACCAGCATTACCAGCAGTTGCAACACCACCACCAGCAGAAGCCGCAACGGCCCAACTGCTCAGCTCTCGTAAGAGGACCTCAGCTCTTGTAAGCGGACCCCCCCCCAACCCCCTCCCCCCCACCCCACCACCCGCCTGCCCTAACGAGTCGCTGCCCCGGGTGGAATCGCCTCGCCGAAGCCGCGTGCAACCAGCACGTACTTCAACCCCCGGCTCCCCTAGCGCCTTCCCGCACCCCGCCCTACGCCCTCCACCATACACACACGTCACGCAGCCAGGGGATTCAGCCCGGTTGCTTGGGGGGGGGGAGATAAGCGGCGCGCACGGAGCCACCGCTCGTCGCCTCAGCCCTGACCCAAAACGTCACACTGAGCTCCGCACGGCAGCACCACCATTTCACTGCGACTGACCCGCGGGTTGGCGAGGAACCCAGAACGGCGTGAGGACAAACCCCTTCCCAGACCCAACCTGCCTCCTCGCTCCCGCTCTCACCATCGTCTCTTACCCCCTAAACCTCCATCTCACACCTCCCACCATTCACGTCGCCCTACAGCTTCGGCTCCGGGTTTGGCTTCAGCTTCAGCCGCAGCTTCGGCTCCTCCGGCTTTGACAGCCGCGGCCACCCTGACAGCACCCACCAACCTGGCAGAGCCAGTGGCGAGCCGTTGAGCGCTGTCCTGTTATCCGCGAGAGCGAGGAGGAGCAGGGCCCGGCGGCAGGACGACCCGCCCGTCTTGCACCCACTCCAGGAACTCAAGGGACCCCTTCGACACCGTTACAACCCGCCATTTGGCCGACATGAAAGCCCCCCATCCCGGCCACCCATAGGGCCCTCCTGGCACCCACATATGGGCCCCGGGGTCACCGGCGAGGCGCCTAATGGTGCGGGCCCGGGCCCGGCCCCGGCTGCGGCCGCCACCGCAGCTGTTGGGCACTCTCGTTGCTGGTTGCGGGTGCTGCTGGCGGGCGTCGCGATCAGGTGGCGGCGGCGGCGGGGGCGGGGAGGGGGCCGGTGGCCTCTGGACTCCACGATTTACATCCGTAAGGCCATCTGCTGCCAGCGGTGGCGATGCTTTCTGCGGCCCGCAGACTTCTGCTTCAGCTTCTTGTGCTGGGAGTGGTGCCCCTGCGGCTGCTGCGCATGCTGCGACCTGCGGCGCTCCGTGTGCTGTGCTGCCACCTGGCAGTTCCTGGTGGGTGTGAGGGTGGGTGTGAGAGTGGGTGTGAGGGTGGGTGTGAGGGTGGGGTTGGGTGTGAAGGTGGGAGAGGAGGGTGGGTGTGAGGGAGGGAGAGGAGGAGGGTAGGAGGGTGGGTGTGAGGGATGGAGAGGAGGGTGGGTGTGAGGGTGGGGGTGGGTGTGAGGGTGGGTGTGAGGGTGGGTGTGAGGGTGGGAGAGGAGGGTGGGTGTGAGGGTGGGTGTGAGGGTGGGTGTGAGGGTGGGTGTGAGGGTGGGAGAGGAGGGTGGGTGTGAGGGAGGGAGAGGAGGAGGGTAGGAGGGTGGGTGTGAGAGTGGGTGTGAGGGAGGGAGAGGAGGAGGGGTGAAGGGAGGGAGAGGAGGAGGGAGGAAGGCAAGGAGGGAAGGAGGGCGGTAGCGCTCGTGTATATTTACATATACACACACACACACACCCATACCTCTCTCTGGCGCGAGCCATTAATGCTGTGCTGCTGCTCTGAGGGTGTATTGTGTCATGGATGGGGTGTTGGGGCCGCAGGTGGGCGGGGTGCTGGGCTCCGGGTACGCGGCGGTCACAGCGCTGTCCTTCGGCTTCGCCCCACACGTCGTGAATCCGGACACGCAGTTCTTCGGTGAGCGCGGGTGATGGTGTGTGTATGTATGTGTGGGATGGCGAGGGCCGGGCGCTGGGGAAGGCGGGGCGGAGAGGGGGTGGGGGTTTTAGGGTTCGTTGCGGTCATGCGCTCCATTCACCATCGCGTGGACTGCGATGTTGCTTAGAGCAGGTGGAGGGGGGAAATGCTGCAGCAGGGAGCTGGGGTAGGGGGACATGTGGGGGGACCCGTTGCAACCCCGCCTACCCGCCCACCAAGTGTTCGTTCCTGAGCCTTAGCCCCGCGGCTTACGGTGCCGCGCCGCACTGCATCGCCATACACATATGCACACACATACCTGTATATATACCTGTTTGTATACATGTTCCTGATTACATCCCGCCCCTCTTCCTGTTGTTCCCCCTTCCGCTCCCTCTCCCTCTCCCCCTCCCGCCGTCCGCCGTGTGTCCCCCTGCTATACCTGCTGCCTGTTTGTCTGTTTTTCTGTCTGTCGATCTGTCTGTGTGTCTGTCTCTCTGTCTGTCTCTCTGTCTGTGTGTCTGTCTGTCTGTTTCCCCCTCCCGCAGCCCTGATGATCCACTTGTTGGTGTTCTGGTGGTTGTACTTCCTGTGCGGCATCGTGGGCTGCTGCACCTCCCTGGACCGCCAGGGAATACTCACGTACGACCCCAGGCAAGTCGACAGCAACAGCAACAACAATAACATGGCCTCGGGGAAGCTAGTAAGGACATAACCTTTTTAAGTATACACGCAAGCATGCAAGCACCATATAAGCCAGTCACGGAATCAAAGGGAATGTCCCTAGGTTGTGAACCTCCCTCCCTCCCTTCATCAGTTTCGCTGTCCCCTCCCCCTCCCCCTCCACCTCCCCCTCCCACCCCCCTCCTCCTCCTCCCCCTCCCCTCCCTCTCTCACTCGTTCGTGGTTCGTCTTTCCCCCTCCCCCTCTCCCCCCTCCAGGGTGTTTTTCCTGGGCCGCGTGTACCTGGGTCTCAACCTGCTCTGTGCCATGTGCCACATCACGCTGGCGGCGCTCAACAGGGCCGTGTGGAGGAATCCGCTCAGCAGACGTGAGGCGCAGTGTAGTGTGTGTGTATGTATGTTGGGGGGGGGCCTGGACATAGACACATCGGGAACGGGGGTTATGGGGGGTTATGGGGGAGGGGCTACCTGTGCGTGCTTGTTTGCGTTCCGTGTCGGGTGTTGGGGTGGTTGGGTGGTTGGGGTGGTTGGGGTGGTTGGGGTGGTTGGGTGGGTGCCTCACGGCGTCGTGGCGACCTTCTGGGTAAGGTAACCCTAATTAACACACACCCTAAATAACACAAACTCTAATCCAGCCGACTGGCCAGCTACCTCCTAGTCACCTGCCAGCTAGCCAGGGGGCCATATCAACCCCCCACCGAATGGGCCCCCCCTGGAGCGACTGGAGGACTTGATGACATCAGGGACCTCAGGACGATGGCGATGTCGTCATGGGGCCGTATCACGCACCCCCGGGGTCGGGTTGGGTTGGGTTGGGTTGGGTTGGGTTGGGGGCCCCTTGCCAGCACTGTTCGCAACCCCCTGCCCTGCCCGCCCCGTCCTGATCTGACCGCCCCACAAGGGGCACCATACCGCCTTGCGGTTTTTGGGAGGTTGGCGGGCGGCTTCGTGTCCCTGCCCTGCCCGTTCCCATCCCGCGCCTTACATCTCCATTACCACCGTCCTCGTCCTCGTCCTCCTCCTTCTGCTCACCCGCTGGCGGTGGTGATGGTGATGGTGGTGTTGGTGTTGGTGGTGTTGGCGGTGCAGTCAACATCTTTCTGAGCTTCCTGCCGCTGCTGTGGGACTGGTACATCATCTACCTGGCCTGGTCGCTCATCCGCAAACTGCAGGAGCAACGCAAGGTGGCTGGGTTGGCTGGCTGGCTGGTTGTGGGTAGTTGGGTTGTTGGGTTGCTGAGTGGGTGCGTAGACCGGGTATTAGGAGCTTCATTTTATCTTTTCGTACCTCTGCAGGGTGACCCTAAGAGGGGTCCTAAAAATAATCAGAAAATTACTCCATGGCGGCCGGGGAGCCGGGGATTTAGTGATTCTGAGCACAGCGTATTTGGTGTGGTTTGCGGGGGCCTAGGGAGCCGTCATTTGGACTGCGGTTGAAGCCGGCATGAAGCGGGGCCGAGCGCGGCCCGAAGCGCGCCGATCTGTGCAACTTCTACACGGTCTATCCGAACCTACCCCTGTGACGAAGCATATGCGAAAACTGCTAGGCAAACTATCCGAGTCAACGGTGCGTTTTACACCTTCCGGGGTTTGCGTTGTTTTCCAAAGGTGCAATCTAGGGGCCCGTACAGTGAGCCCTGAGGGGCCCTGAGGGCTGAAGGCTGTCGGAAATAAGCAGGTAGATATCGTCATAAAAAATGTCACAAGAGAAATTATGTTGATATGTTCTCTCTAGAAACCAACGAATTGTTGAACCAACCGAACTAACCGGACTGCTATATGCCGTAGATATGCGCCTGACCCTGCGAATGGTCCAACTCCCAACTCCCAACCCCACCCCGCTGCGGCAATGACCCGCCCCCTCGCTCCTGAAGCCGTTCGAACTGGCTTACAGCCCTAAAGCCTGTCCTAGCCTGCCCTGCACACGCTGCACGAATTGCACCCACCATCACTCCGCCCCGGCTGGCCCCCCATGGCGTTCCCAAACCCCTCTTACAGGGCATCTTCCGTGGACGACCCGCTATGGACAAGCAGCGCAAGCCCAGTCAGCTGTTGGAGCTCCATATAGGCCACAACCTGGCGCTGTCGCCGCCGCCAGATCAGGTGATTGTGATGCTGGCTGCGACAGCCGGCGGCGGCGCGGCGCAGAGTACGGCAGCGTTTGACGCAAATGGGCCCGGCCACGTCACTGACACCTGCAGCGTCCAGCAGGCAGGCGGCGTCGACGGGCTGCCCGCGGGGGTGATGACAACCCCGCAGCAGTACGGCATGGAGCGTACCTCGCCCCCCGCCTCCGCCTCCGCTGGCGGAGACGGCGGCGGTGGTGGCGGCGGAGGCGGATGGGGCTCTCCTTGGTCTGAGCACAGCAATGTGAGCTCGGCGGTGTGGAATGTCGCCGACAGCAGCTTCAGCGGCGCGTGCAGTGTCGGCGGCGTCGGCGGCGTACGGCACAGCTCCCGGCGGCGGCGCAGGCAAGTAATCGACTCCGACGGCGCCGACGGTGGCGATGACGCCGACGGTGATGGTGACGTGAATCGGCCGTACCACGGCTGGGATAGGCACCAGCAGCAGGTGCAAGGTGATGGAGAAGAGCAGCAACAGCAGCGGGGCCCGCCGCCGCCGCCGCCGCCGCTGTTGCTGGCTATGCCGCCAGCCATGGCGACGGCGGTGGCGACAGTGGAGACAGTACCGCCTCCACGGCCTCTGCCGTTGCCACCGTTGCCGCCGCCATCGCAACAACTACTGCCGTTCCCGCCACTGCCGCCGCCCCCGGTACAACAGCTGTTGCCGTTGCCGCCAATGTTATCATCACTCGAGGTGCAATCGCTGCCGCTACTGCCAGCGACGCCGCCGCTACTGCACGAGGGGCCGCCGGCGCAGTTCCTCCACTCTGGCGGGAACGGCGTCGCCGACACGTTGGCGGCCATAGTGGTACGGCAGGGTCGGGGGCCGCAGCTGTAGCATTACTCTGGGAAAGTGGCAGCATCCGTATTGGGTAGTTGGGATGACGTGGGTGACGGGCGAACGTGGCAGGCAATACGACGTGTTTTGTACGATAACGAAGCGTGCACACTAGCGCGCTGGAAGTTGGTTTGTCATGATGGAAATGGTTACGAAGGCAGCCGTTGATGCTACCTGACATCTGAGGGGTTTTGCCGACTGCCTAATCTGGGTTGCTGACTGACGTATAAAATAAGCTTATGAATATAAAAGAAAATGTATATATACATAATTTATTGTTATGTATACATAAATCGTTGTTACATATTAATCAATTTAATTATTTTATCCATGCATTCGAGCCGCTTAAGTCCTGGGCTACCAGGAGGAATAGCGATTGAGGTTTGCTTATCTTCCTGCGTACCCTCCTGCTGCGCCTTGGCTGGACCCGGCACCCTATTCGCCGGTCGACCCTTCCCTTGCATGTCTATCTACCTTCCCTACCCCCCTCCCTTCCCACTTCTGGCTCCTGTCCTCCGTTACACCTCAGGAGGAAGATGCGCATGCGCACATGTACACACGACACACCCTGCCTTGCCAGGACGGACAACAGCCGCAACAGCCGCAACAGCCGCCGTCACCGTCACAGTCACCGTCACCGTCACCGTCACCATCGCTGCAGCAGCAACAGCAACAACCATACGGCGCGGCACGGCAATCCCCTACCCAGGCATCGCCGCCGCCGCCAGCGACCCACCGGTCTCGATCTTCCCATTCTCGTCGGCGGATTTGGCCCCAGGACGACAACGGCGACAGCTCCCAGGGCGGTGTCGGCGACCCCCCTCCGAGTCCGGGTCCCCCCCCAGCCGGCGGCTCGGTGGCCTCCCCTAGTGGACACAACGGGCCGATAGAACGCAGCATCTCCAGCCTCCGGTCCCGTAGGGCCGCCTCCGCGTCCACTCCGGCCGCTTCCACCACGGCAACGAGAGTCCGTGTGGGGAGTGCCCCCACGCCCGCCGCTGCCGCTGCAGGCGCCGTTGCAGGCGCCTCCGGTGCGGCTATGGAGCCATCCGCGGCGACCTCGTCAGCTGCCGATGTTGCCGCCGTGTTCGAGATACGGCGGCGGTCCACACGGCCCCGCGGCGCTCCCCCGGACGGCGTCATGACACACGGCGCCGCTGCGGGTACGACAGCGGCGGCTGCGCTGGAGAATGAGGGGGAGGCGGCAGCGGCGCCGTGGTCACGGTGGCGGGGGGTGTTGGGGGCAGGTGTCCTGAGGTTCCCCGGCGGCAGCAGGCCGCCCAGGAAGACATCGGGCAGCGAAGCCTCTTATGCTTCTGCCCAGCCTCGCAACCCGCCGCTGCCGACGCTGGAGCCCGTCATGCTGTCAGTGCCGGCGACAGCGACGTACGGCAGCGCGCTGTTTAACCGAGTGGCGGCGGCAGCTGCGCCCGTGGCACCGCGTGTCGGTATTGCTGTCGGCGGCGGCGGCGGCGGTGATGTCGGCGGCGGCGGCGGCGGCCGTGCCGATGGAGGCGCGGCGGCGGCAGCCGTCATGTCGCCAGGCGCACCGTGGCGCAAGGCGTCGTCCCTGAGCCGTAGGGCGCTATTCGTACAGCAGGTACGGGTTCCCTTCGTCGGCGGCTTTGCAGCACACTGACGACGATATCGTACGCATGGTATGACGTGTAATCATCTACGATAGTAGGCGATGTCCCGTGCACGTGCCGCACCCTCAACTTCTTCTCCGGCCCCCTCACCCAGCTTTACTCGCTCGTGGTTCGTCTAATCCCCCCTCCCCCCTCAGACCCCGCTGAGGTAGGCTATATCATGCACACACCTGGCCCATTCTTCCCCCACTCCGCCCTCTTCATGATGCACTCGCAGCTGTCCCTCCAGCGCACCCAGGACCACCTAAGCCGAGGGTCCACACCCGCACGGGAGCACCAAGCACACGCCCAGGCCGCCACAGCCCCCGACCCGGCCCGCTCCCGGACACCAACTACGGCCGCCGCCGCCCAGCACCCGCCCGCCGCCGCCACTCGGGCTGTTCCACTGGACCTCGCCGTGGGGGTGCCGGACCCCTATGTGGGCCTGGGCCATGAGGAGGACACAATGTCACACGCGCCGCCGCTGTCGCCGGTGCCGGGAACCGCACCTCGCCGGCGTGCAGCCTATGCGGCACCAGCGCCCTGGTCGCTCGGATCCCCGTCAGCGGACCCGCGAGCGACCCCTTGGGGGAGTCCACGTCTCGCCACCAGGTCGACCAGCTTATCAGCTGCGGCTGCGGCTGCGGCTGCAGGTGAGGGTGCGGCGACCCCAGTGCGGCTGGCCCCAGCAACAGATTTAAAGCCGCTGCAGTTGTCGGCCCTGGGTGCGGGTGCAGTTGAAGGGCGCCTTGCGTCTGTGTCAGGAAGGTTGATGGCGGTCTACCCGCCATCGTACTTGCAGCAACAGCAGCAACAGCAGCAACAGCAGCAACAGCAGCCACAACAGCAGCAACAGCAGCCACAGCAGCCACACCGGCAGGCGCATAGGGTTTTTGAGGTGGTGCTGCCGCAGGATCCTGGCTCCCAGCCTCCGCACGCCGCAAGGCACCAGGGCGGCGGCGGCGGAGGTGCAAGTGACGGAGGAGGTGGCGCTGGGAGCAACGGCGCTGACGGTGGCCGTGGTAACGGGGGGAGAGGAGCCCCTGGCGGGGATGTTTGGGGAGTCCCGAGGTCCAGCTTTGCCGTACACGCGACCAGCAGCAGCAGCAGCAGCACTGGCGCACTCCAACAAGGTATACGACCCCGGGCAGTGCTGGCAGCGGAACCTGGTTTGGCAACAGGGGCGGTGACACCTCCTCCGGTTCCTGCAAGCAATGATAACATCGCTGTGGAGACGGTAACCCTGCAGCTAGCGAATGCGTCCCACTCGGAAGAAGGAGACCTAGGAAAGGGCAGAGCGGCAGGAGTGCCGCCGGCACAAGTCCGACCCCGGGCCCTACCGCCGGTTCCATTGCTACCGTTGCGGCAGCTCCGCACCGCATCGGACGCGTCCACACCTGCTGCTATCCCAACGCCAACGGTGGCGGTCCATGATCGCCAACGCGCACAGTCGTACTCGGCGTCGTCGTACCATCCAGTACTACTACCGAATGAACGAGGGCAGGCCGCCGCGGTGGGGGCAGCGTCGCAAGGCGCCTCAGCACACCTAACTCAGCAGCACCAGCTGCAGCAGCAGCAGCAGACCCACGCTCGGCAGCAGCGGCAGCAGCCCTCGGCTTCGCCTGAAGAGGCCTGGCGGCTGGCGCCTCCTCAGAGGCTCAATGTGTGGTCTGTGGGCGCCAGCTCGCACGGCGGTGGGGGTAGGGACAGCGAAGGCGGCCCCACCATCCAACCCAGCCTAGGGGACGTGGCCACTGACTGGGCTGGGGACCAGCAGGGAACCAGCTTCCAGAGGCCAGGAGCTCGTGGCCCACAGCAACAGCAGCACCGGCGACTACAGGAGCAGCAGCAGCAGCAGCAGCAGCACCAGCAGGAACGCCCATTGGCACGCGCTTCAGTAACTCCAGCCCAAATAACTTCCTCAGCGCACAGCAGCAGCTGGCAACAGCAGCTACAGCAGCAGCAATGGAATGAGACATGGAAACAGGCGGGAGGCAGCGGCATGAGCGGTGATGGTGTGGCCCTGGGAGCCGCTGGAGGCACATCACGGGCAGGGGCAGCGGCAGCAGCAGCGGCAGCCGCCGCAGGGGCACCGGTGTTGGGCAGGCTCGCCGCACTCGCTGGTGCATCGGCTGCTGCGCTGTGGGGGATTCTCTCCGGAGACTGGCGGACACAGCACTGGGAAGAGAACGATACCGGGGTCGGTCCCTCTACCGCCAGCGGGTCCCCGCCGGTAGTGGGTTTGGATCAGGCCGGGATACGTTCCCCCGAGTCCGCTGGGGGCGGCGCTGTAGCTCTGAGCAGCAGTGATGATGAGGAGCGGCGGCAGACCGCCGCTGCCGCTGCCGCAGAGGTCAAAACGACCCGTGGGTCATCAGAGCTGCTGCCGCCAAGGAACAGGCCACGTATGGGTTCCCCGGCGTCGCTGCTTTTACCGTCGGGGCTGACAGCAATGGCAGTGGCGGCGCGAGATGGTGCAAGGATCATGTACGACGCATATGTACCGTACGTTGGCCGTGCAATCCACAGGAGTTCGGTCGGGGCCATCCTTTGGGGGTCGGGTAAAGCGGGCACGACGGCCGAGATGGGCAGGGACACGGCAGCGCCGAAGGCGGCAGTTGCTGTGGATGTGAGGGACTGGGGCGAGAAGGACGGCATATACACCGGGGGGAGTGGTGACGGTGGTGGTGCTGGAAGGCACCTGCTGCGCACACCAGTAGTGGCAACTCCTGCAATGGAGATCACACCATTCACGGACCAGGAATCACACGGATAGCTAGCCCAGCGTGTGTGACTGACTGGCTGGACCTACCTGCCTGGCTAGTAGATGGTGCTGCCCAGGATGGTGGGTGGTTAGTAACCACTGGTTACGTAACGTTACTGTGGTGGCAAGGCTTGTCAAGGCCGGACCGGACAAGGTGCCTTGTATACGCAGCTAGTGATCCACACATCACGGTAACTTGCTTTGACTGACGTACATCTTGCCTGTATTTAGCTGAGCTGTTATTGCAAAGGAGCGTGGGTCAGGTACCGTATGCGTTACTAACAAGAAGCATCCATGCGACGCCATGGCCAGCCATGGCTGCGTCATCAGTTATGAAACCTGCTGAGCACTAGTGTGACTGATGAACACAAAAAGAGCTGAGGCCAACCATCTACTGGTCTGTATCCCTCACATGAGAGTGATTGGGGACGCACCCTAATCATCTCTATCGGAAATCGGAAAACCCGGGTCTTAGAAGGTGTGCTGACTGTACACTTGGTTCGGAGGTTTGTGCAAATTTCAACTATAGCCGTAAGCACAGCGCCAAAATAATACATGAATCTGTGTTTCCGTCTGAGGCTTCCCAGTGCAGTGCACTGTCCGTTGTGGCTCGATAGCCCTGCCCTTGGGGTCTGGGGCTCGGATATGACAAGGAATATAAAACGACATATCATGCTTATAGCCATCTGAGATATTACGGCATCATGGTGTAGTGGAATCACACCTGTCTTACACACAGGAGGCCCCCAGATCGAAACTGGGTGATGTCAAATTTCCTGCCACCCTCGCCTCATTGGCGTTTTACTCGGGTGGCATACCTGTGGATGATGGTTATATGAGTACGTACACGTAATGATTAATAGTCTTGCCTACATCTGACGTACACCGGTGACGTACATCGGAATAACCCTTAAGGAATGGCGTATGTGATCGCAAAGCTATGTACAAGTTCGATTCCGTGTCAGGGCACCGAACGGCTCAAGGAGGCCTGAGTCCGGCCCCACACCCCGGACGGCACCTGAGAGGATGTCTTAGGCCGCGTTGGTTCACTTCCAACGCTCAAATCCAACCACATTCGCCAGTGGATGGTTTCGGAGCAAACTACTGGCAACGCGGACAGAGGTCGCAGATGCGGATACCCGGTGACCAATTGCTATTGGTCACCACTACTATTGCCGACCCATTCCGCACTGGTCCCCTCAACACATGCCGGGGTCATAATGGTCCTCCTGGAGTAAAGTCTCCTCCTAGAGAAGTGCACACCTAACCCCACCAGTGCACACCCAGAGCGCGAAAACACTTCATAAAGTGGCAGCGGTTTCATAAGGCAATCTGCAACCAGGAACCCCCATCATCACCGCCACACCCACCGCCACACCCACCGCCACACCCATCGCCACACCCATCGCCACACCACCACACCCACCGCCACACCCACCGCCACACCCACTGCACGAACAAAGTGATGCAGTACGTCAACGTGCTTCAACCGAATGGACGTGATCACGTTGTCGACGATCTTCATGGTCCCCTGGTGGTTGCACTTAATAGGAGGCATGGGCGAAACACGCAACTGCAAACCAGGCGCCAAGTGGCCAAAACAAAGGTTTCCTGTGTATGCTCCGAGAGCGAACTCGGTTGAGTACAGCGTATAGAAGCAGAGTGGATCCGGTAACCACTCCCACGGAAACAAGCACGAGCACGCATACTCTTTCCCGCCTGCAGGTACCTCTTCGTCCCTACCACTCGGGGAACGACTTGGTCATGGATGTGGTCATAGGGGGCGTTTTCTGTCATAGATCTTGTCATGTTGCCTCATGACCACTGCCCATGAGGCATAGTCATAACTTATGGTATGTGTGCAAAACATGGGCCAGATTGGTCATGGCTTGCAGTATACAATTCATGTAAACCAAGCAAAACATGGGCCAGGGTGGTCATTGAGCGCAGTGTACGACTCATGGAATGAATGCAAAACATGGGCCAAGGTGGTCATGGCCTGCATTGCTGCATCATGGAATACCATGCGCAATATGACCTGGTCATGCTCCGCAGGTCATAAATATTTATGAGCATGTACATGACCAACTGTATGACCCCATGGGGTCATAAAGCGCAGCCATGACTAGTGGCTGGTCATAAAGGGATCCACTTTTTCATAAATTGACATCATGAATTGCAGACATTTTATGACCCCCACCAGTCATATTCTGCACTTGGCTTATGCAAACTATGAAATGTTCCATGACCGGATCCATGACTTTATGACAAAATTATGACCGGATCCATGACTGGAAAACCCGTCCATGACCAAGTCGTTCCCCGAGTGTACGGCCCCTGAGCAGTTAGGTCAACTTCCTCGTGAGAAATTTATGTGTCTTGCTTGCCAAACAGCTAAGAACATTTCCAATATTTTAGGTAGCGTCATCTGGGAGCAATTGATACCTTCCCTTCGGATTAGATCTAGACGAGTCACTGGAATGCCATGGTGGATGTGATGGCGAGTTGGTGGCAGGAAAGGTCCACCCGAGGAGCAGGGTTGCCCAAAGCAAGGAGGGACATGTTGGCTCATGGGGACATGCGCGGTGGGGTACGACAGAGGACGCAGAAGTAGCGCAGGTGGCGGGGAGGCAAGAAAAGATAAATTGTGCAGCAGCTATGCAGGAGGACATGATGAAGAGGTACCATCGAGGTGATGGAGGTGGATGGGTGGTGCAGGTTCACACTGCCTGTGATGTACCATGGCAGTTCGTTTGATCTTCATATCCTTTTTTTCGTGTCCACATTTGCATCTGACGACTTACATATCTCTACACGACGCAGGTCAGTCTCCTAGGCTCTCGGATTGGCAATTGCCTTGCCAAAAGTATGTTGTTACAGGGTGGTTAACTTCGCCAGCGGCCCCCTTTCCCGGGGCAGTCCCTGCTCTCCCCTGCTAGAGGGGCACCCTAATCCGTCACCCCATCCGACTTCAGAATGTATTCGTTGGGTTCGGCAACTCACCACCAGCATCCAACCAAATCTAGCGGATCAACGGCGCATCAACTTAGTTCCTGGTCAGCTCGCAAGTTGATATTATCACGTCCTACACCGTCCATATGATGGGGGGCCACCTCCCATTTCATCACTCCTCAAACACCCGAGGAGCTGGCAGGCGGATTTGAACCCGGGTCGACTGGATCGACTGGGAGCAGAAGTCAGGCCTTAACTTCTGCCAGCCGCCTGCCTAAAAGTATGTTTGCATGATGAAAAGGAGGGGGGCCTGATGTAAAGTTGTGAGCTGCTCTGTGCCTTCCGCTATACGGCTACTTAAGCTCGGAGCGTGGTCTGCACTTCCTGTTACAAGCAACTGAAGAATGCGGCTTGCAGCTGCCATGTAAAGGATCCAAATCACGATTCCATAAGTACGACAGAGATCGCTAGAGGTCTGACCGAAATAAAGTCCAATTCACAACAGGGCCCTACTTAACATGAAGGGTGGTGTGCTTTCCCACCGGTGCAAACACCTCATCAAAATCTACTCGTCCTTCTTGTCGAAAACCTTGAGCTACCAAGCGCGCATGATAACGCTCGATATTACCATGCTCATCCCGCTTACGCTTAAACACCCAAATGAGAGGAATAGGTGCAACCCCAGGAGGAGGCGGTTGTAATGTAAACGTCTTATCAGACATAAGTGCTTTTATTTCCTCATCACACGCAGCCTTCCAGTGGTTAGCATCGGGACGACTGAGAGCTTCCTTCAAAGATTTAGGCTCTTCGTCGATATTAACGGCACCTAGGGCTAATGCCACATCACAGTATCGAATAGGAGGGACACCTAGATTACTCCTTGTGAACCGCCTGAGTCCCTCAAATTCGACTGAAGATACAAGTGGCACAGGAGGCGCAGGAGGCGAAGCAGTGGATCCACTGATGACCTCTCCCCCCCGCCCTCCGAAGCCGACACTGGTGCGGGTGGAGAAGGACCCGACGAAATGCTAACACTGGAGCTCCCACGCGCTTCGGCGGCAGTAACGCCACTCGGTGCCAGCTCATCATCAGAGTCGGCAAAAAACGGATTAAAAGCTTCTACCCGATTCTGCACCTCAGCTTCAGAGGCATCGTCCCATAGCGATGTAAGCACAGATTCTTCACCAAAAACTTAACATCCCTACTCACTATTACTCTATCAAGTTCTGGGACAAGGGCGCGGTAGGCCCTAGAACCGGCCTCGTATCCTACAAAAGTACCGCGCGACGCAACTTTATCAAGCTTATTCCTATTTTGCTTAGGGATGTGAACGTATGCAACGCAACCAATAACACGCAAATCGGAGAGGTCAGGCATAGAGCCGAAGAACAGTTCGTAAGGGGTTTTAGGCAAATCATTGACAGGAGACCTGTTTCGCAGGTAATTGGCGGTAACAACAGCATTGCCCCAAAAAGATTTAGGCAAATCGGCTTGAAACAGCATCGCGCGCACCTTCTCCATTAATGTGCGATTGAGGCGAGGCGCGCTGCCGAGCCATTCTGCCGTGGCGTGTAGGGAGCGGTTGTCTGATTGATAATGCCCCTATCCTTGTACAAGCTGCTAACCCCGCATTAAGGTAATCCCTACCCCTGTCCGTACGAACAACCTTTGTCTTCTCTCCCCACTGTTTTTCGAACATAGTCAGCGTCTCCTTCACACAACTTGCCACCTGATCCTTTCGCGACAGAAGGCAAACAACTGACATTCGTGAAAAATCGTATAAATGGCCATCGCGGGAAGTAACTGGAAGCGGACCACACACATCCATGTGCACTAAAGCCAATTTTTTATCTGACCGATTTCCACTAGCTCCAAAAGGCGAACGTGACAGCTTGGCCTCAACACAAGTGCCGCAATCAGACTCACCCTCAACACAAAAGTCTTTCGCTGGTACATCAACACCAGTGACCATTACATCAACACCAGTGACCATCACATCAACACCAGTGACCATCACATCAACACCAGTGACCATCACATCAACACCAGTGACCATCACATACATACATACATACATACATACATACATACATACATACATACATACATACATACATACATACATACATACATAACTAAACGAGCCAAAGTTCTGAAAGCTCAGATGACCGAGCCGGCAGTGCCAAAGATAGGCGTCGGACACAGACCTGACTGCAAACGCATCGCCTAGCACAGGGGGGTCAGGAAAAATCATGGTGCCCTTCAGGCGGTAAGCTCCCCGAGAATAAGGGAAGCTGTGGGACCAAAAAGTACCGTCACTGTTACGGACCACTGCCTCAGGTGCCCCCAGTGCCTGAAGAATATTTGTGCTAAGACGTCGTTGACCGGCTGGGTCGAAACAGCCGAAAACACCCTTTCACTCCACATTTGCTCCCTTCTCATTCAGAACACGGACTGACAATAGACCCTGCTTGAAGCCAGGAACATGAAAGACACCCGTAAACTCCAAAATCTCGTGCTGATTACTAAGCACTCGCAAGTCCCCAAAACCGGCTATTCGAAGTCGCCTACCGTCCGCTATCTCGACGAACATGTCGCCATCGATCTTCTGATAGTTCCAAAGACAAGAAGCATCGGGCGACATATGGTGTACTGAGAACCAGAATCCAATACCCAGCTGTCATCGGCGTCGCCATCCATCCACGGGCGCGACGGCGTCTCATACTCCAACGCCAGTCTTCTTGACGACGGGCGGTGTACCGACGCGTGCGGAAATGACGACAGGCGCCTCGAGCGCCGAGAAAGACGTGACCCTCTTGCCGTACACCTCGGAGATTCTCTTCTCGGTGCGCTTTTTCTTGAAGCACTGGTCTTCAGTGTGGTTGTCCTTGCCGCAGTAACCACACTTTGCACCTGGCGTATTCCTTGAAGTAGTTGCAGCAGTTGGTGTCCTCGCCCCGGAATTACCAGGCGACTTACAGAAACGCGCCTTATGTCCAATTTTTCCACAATTGTAGCATTTTGCGGTGTTGTGGCGAGAGAACAGGGCGACGGCGACGGGTTCCGCAGTCGCACTATTCTTAGTTGCTCGCTCGACCCGCAACAGAATCTTCTCCAAAGCAAGTAGATCAGTAGGCATAGTGCGCATTATCAGATATTGTCGTGCCACCTCGAAGAAGCTGCTCAGACCTAGCACAGCTTGCAGGACGATGGTGTTGTTGTCTTTAGCAAACGCCGAACCCGCTTCCCGCAGCTCACTCACAACGGTCTTGACGCGCGACAGGTACTCAACCACAGACTCGGAGTCGGCCATCTTCAGTGTCGTGAACCTTTGCTGCGATGACAGCTGCCGAGCAATGCAGCTCCCCACGTAGCTCTTGTGCATGGCGTCCCACAATTCCTTGGCCGTCTTGCTGCTGTCGGAGTAATGCAGCATATTCTCCGCCAATCTCAAAGTAATTTCCGCGTGGGCCTTCCGATCTTGTTCCAGCGCGGCTGCGTCGCCAGCAGGGACGCCCTTCTCTATGACATTCCATAAGCCCTTCACAGTTAGGGCCGCCTTCCCGTATTTGGACCACGCAACATAGTTGGATCCATCAAACCTAGTGTTCCACATGGAGTCGATTCCCATTTTCAGAGCTCGGGCTCATAACCTGTAAAAAGCTAAGTGGATCGGATGCAATAGTCATTGCCAGAGCGTTACAAAAGCAACTAACGGCTCAGCTCAGCCACAACTCACGACCCTACAAGCATACCAGACCAACGATAAACGCTCGCTCATTCCTATTTATTGACGAGCTCGACAGTCGATCAGCAAGTACGGAAGATGGCTCCGAACCAATCCAGAAACCAACTATCACGCAAGCACCAGGCGACAGACTGACCGGACATCATTTTTCTCAACAGCGCCTCACAGCCGTACACGAGTCCTAGCTCCGCTATAGCTCGCTTGTTCGCTAGCTAGCTTCAAAGTTACGACACCATCACATACGTGTTCCGAAAGTCCGTCAACCAACCTCATGATATTACTATAATAAGGTAGCTAGTACGCTTTATTATGTTTTTCTTTGGATCTTTTCCTGTATATTCACTTTCAAGCTCATACTTATAGAAAAGCATACGCTTTCTGAAATAATATTTTATTGTCCTGAATTATAATTGGCTGGTTTCCGATACGTTGACCATATTCAAATTATCAACGCTTTATCTAACCAACCTTTGGCTTTAGCAAAAGTGGGAGCTGATATTGCTAAAATTAACTCCTACTTTATAGCTGTGCTATTTCCTCTAACTTGGACCCGTTACGGAAGAAATAATCGTCCAACTTCTGGATTACGGTAAAATCCCAAAGCAAGAAGTGCACCATGAACAAACGGCAAAAGATGTAATACAGAATTATAAGAAAATCTCCTGGTAAATTTAACAAATTTACTGAGCACTGGGAATGCTCGCTTCACGTTTTTTCCGGCGGACTAATTCACTATTAACCAAATTATCAGTAATCTTAGTAAATGTCTGCGCCACGCGAAATCAGGGCATGAAGAATCCTTTAGAGTCCTGAATCCTAAAAATGCGTACAGAGGCTAAAGAACGTTATTAAACAGCTTTCATCTTCTTAGGGGTACGTCGAGCTACTGTCGAGCACCGCTCCGACCGGTGGCGGCTGGATGGTGATCGCCGAAGCCGTAACCTTCATACATGCTGCACGGCATTCATGAAATCGCAAGCAAAAAAATTATCTCTTACAGTGCGGGCATATGCGCAGGTATTGTTCGTGATAACAGTGGCCATGGTAAGGAAGCAACCAGACAAGTAGGAGCGAATATTACCGCTTGCGGACGAAGGTGGAAGGTTATCCAACCTGAACAATTATAATCGTTACAGATGTAAGCAACAAATGTTCCAGGATTTGATAACCCCAATCTCCATTTTCGACGTCTTTGGTACGGCACTGGCGACGCTCAAATTTTTATGCATTGGCCCTGCCTGAGCCATATGATATATCTCCATGAGTTTCTCAGACATAACAGGAACCAGAAATAGGAACGACTGGCTCAGCAGGACGGTCCTTGCAAACACGGTTAAAACGTAAATCTATGCAGCTCCTTTAGGAGCATCCTTTAGGCAGCGGGCAGCTAGTCACCCTAGCTGCCCGTCCACAGCTCTCAAAAGTACCGCAAATCTTGAGCCAGTACCCGGGAAGGATAACGTCTTTCTGGTGCACTTGCATATCCGGCGGCTCATACACTGTAATATTCTTATTTAGGCCTCTGTGTGTGTGTGTGTGTGGTGTGTGCTGGGTAGATGGTGGATGAGTGTCCCGCCGGCACAGGAAGAGGGGTTGTTACAGTCCGCGGAAAAGAAAATATGTCGGTCACGTCTTGTTTAATAATCAGTCTTAGGGTAGGATAGGAAATAATTAAGCAAATTGTGCATTCTCCTTGCTTGAGCCAGGGCAGGGCGACACGCGAGCAGCAAAATCCCCCAAACCCCCGAGCGACATCAACACAGTGCAGTGACAGTCATCATCACACACACAACAACGCATCTCACTACGTCACGGGTGCTGATGCACCCACAACACATGCCGCTGAATGTCGTACACGCGAATAAACCGGCGGCCTCGTTCTGCTGCCCAGCCACCCACAGCGTTCTCGGGACTTGCTTGCCACACATGATTTTACCACATATGATCGCGTCTAGTAATTTGCTATATAGCTATAGCGATACGTCGAGTACTCCCCCGCGGTGGAAAGATATATAGAGAGCTTTCTTCCGTCCTCACAATAGCTCACAACAACAGCGCACTACTGCTGCGAGCCAAATTAGGCACCATACCACGCACAGCTGGGAGGACGCCCAGCACCGCCCCCCCCCATCACCCGGATCCTCCCCCTCCGGGCACCCGGAACACAGCAGCAGCAATGACACCGCTTCTCGTTCTGACCCATGCGACCTATATCTACCCTGTCACACAAATATAATAAAAAGAGGGACGACACATCTCCTCGGTCTCCTCGCCGCCTCCCACAGCACACACCAAAATGTCAATGGACAGGCGAACAGGAGAACGCAACGACCAGAATAATAAAAACTGCTGTGCTGCCTCATAGATGGGCCCAGGTGCTACTACCATATCCCCACTACCAGAGGCACAGAAAAGTGGAGAAATACTTGTACATCCTTGCGCAAGGTCTTAGTGCCAACTGGCTGCTGTGTGGTTGCACAACCTCTCGCTTGCCACGGGCAATCTATAATCCCTACAGCCAGCCACGCACTTTCCCCCTTTTTGCGGTAGCCGAGGGGGGAATGCAGGCGGGCGAATCCTACAGCGCTGCCAATAGCGGAAAAACGGCAGCGGCGCGCAGGACCAGACCCAACCATCGTACCCGCAGGCCCAGCTGCCCCCCAGCCGGCGCCCACGGGGGGGATCAGGGGCAATATGGGTATGCATGGCATGAAGGCTTATTAACTCTGTGTACATATACATCGCAAGAACCGTGCACAATTTTCGCGCCTAAACCTGAAGGAATCGAACCAAATTGCATTGCCGTACCCAAGGTATAGAAATTACTATTCATTAAATAGTAAATCAAACGGCGCCTCCTCTTCTTACTGCTGCACCTGAAAAATAAAATCCAAGCTCCATCGCACAAAAAAACACTCCCAGCCCTGACACGGCACACGGGCTTCCATGCAAGGGTTCTATTTCCCCCCCCTCCAAGCAAATCTGCATGACTGGAAAAAGCCGCAACAAAGCTTATCCGGCGCCGCATTTTCGTTTCCCCATCACCAGCCACCTCAACCAGCGCCCTTCTATGGGGAGATGGAAGTGGACATGGCCACGCCATATGTAACGCCGTACAGGCAGCAGTGGCAGTAGCAGCAAGCATGACGGTAGCGAACGCAGCGGGTGGCGGAACGTACCTTCCTTCACTCACTCCACGATGGCACCAGCGACGACGCGGTTTCCTGCAGTTGCATTCCTGCAATGCCTGTCGCCGTCTCCAGCTCACCCAGCCCAGACCCGCGCAAGAAACAGAATCCGTTGGGCGACACCCCCACCCCCACCCCAGACACACTCAAGTGACGTAAACGCCACATGCTGCATACCCATGTAAGTCTGTCTGTCTGACCCGCCCAAGGCCCCGCAATCCACTCTTGTGTGCGAGTGTGTGTGTGTTGCGGGTGTGTGAGTGTGTGTGGGTGTGTGTGCATCTCGAGAGAACCACGCGCACCTCACACTCCGACACGGATGACTTATCACGCCAACACATACACACATACATACAACCCGCATTGCACCAAGTGGCCAGGTGCCCACCGGCCGGCCGTGTATGGATTCCCCCTCCCTCCGCCGCTCCTCCAAGCCAAACCCTCAAAGCCCCCATCACCACCTGGAAAGAACCCCATCCTTGCCGCTGCACAACCAGACGATCCAATTCCTGAAATCACGTAATGCGTAATATGTGTGTGTGCTTTACGAGATCTAATTAAGTTCTGCCTGCCTGCCTGCCCACCCGCCGGCCGGGCACTGCTCCGGGCGGGAGATTCCCCTGCTCACTCACCCTCACGCACTCGTATTTCCCTTCCCTCTATCCTCTCTTCCTCTCTATCTCTCTTATCGCACAACATAGAGCAGCCAGGTGGTGGGCGGTTAGACACCCGCGACGCGCTTGTATACTTCCCGCTCTCAACCCCCCCTATCTCTATCACTCTCCCCTTTTTCTGTACGGAACCAGGCAGCTCTGCAACACGCACAGGTGCCCGTCCGGGGGCCCCACCGCAGAACAGAAAAGCAATCACCCATCACACTGGTCGAATAGTGTGGCGGAACACTGGAAAGACATCGAAAGAGCGCAGCGCGAGGAGCCCCTTCTGCGCCCCTTCTGCTGCATGTGCATGATGTGCCCCAAACGCAATCGCAAACGCAACTGGTCAGTACAGCTGTTCACATCTGACACAAGAGAGATTCTTTTCCCTGCCACTTCCAACGTCATACGTCCGCCAACGCTACCCTCCACATTGTCGCATATAGGCTCTTCTTGCACACACACAGACATACATGTCAGATCTGCGGATAGAAATTTCCTCCTGCCTGTCACCGTCCCGTGTGTTACCGTCCACGCCCACGTCTTATCCCCAAAATCATTTCTCGCCGGTCTTTCAAAAACACATATATAGATAGATATATAGATAGATATATGCAGTCATCCAGCTCAGCAAAACACACACGCAGACACAAGCTGCGGCTGCGACGTATGTACCCACGAATCAGTAAGATGCACGACTAAAGAAGCGTTCAAGGGTAGATAGCGTCATGAAAGCGAGCAGCAAAAATGAACCGTCCATTCCACTCGCGCCGGTTCCTCCCCTCCCTCGCCCAGCCCAATTCACACTGTGGTAGTGGAAGAGCGAAACGAGGGACTCATGGCCAACGGCCTAGCCAACCCAAAACCGACCGCCTTCCTCCCCATTTTCCGCCACCAGCTGCTGCGGGAATGCCGCAAGGGGGGCAGCAGCTTTCTCAACGGCGGCAGCGCAGTGGCGGCGCGGCAAGCGGGATGTCAGCGGCACCAGTGCTAGCAGCGACCGCGGCCGGCCACAAAACCCTAAGCGACATCCAGAGCGAAAAGAGGAAGGTCGCTACAACGACTCCGAAGCCCCCAAAGACAGGGAGCAGTCAGGGACGGAGGGGAAGCGCGCGCACGAATCCCTGTGCGAGAGCAAACATAGCTTACGATGCGCGCAAGCGTGTGCGAGTGGTACGCGCGATATCTTCAACCTCGGGGGAGCCGCGGAGCCCTCCTTGTGAGATGACGCTAAAGGCCCGATGGCGTGAAGCCCGACACATCCGTACGTCCGTATGTTCGCATGCACATGCATGTTCTTGGATGTATTGTCCACAGCATTTATCTTCCCCTCCCCCCCAATCCTCCTCCTGGCGCATCCGTCTTTCCTTGGCATCAGCTTCACTAGCTCGTGGTTCGTCGTCTTCCCCCTCTCCCTCCTCTACCGCCGACGCCGACATTACCACCGCCGTAGTCTCGTTATGCCCGCCCGCACGCATTACATGCTTCCCGCTTCCGGACGCCTCCCCTTCCATCAAGGGAGAAGGGTAGTCCGAGGTAATCCTAAAACCCCGCTCAAAAGCCCACAGGATCGCGCCACAGGAAAATCCACGTTACCATGGATCCATCCTTCCTTCACACACATACACACACACACAAGTGGTTCAAAATTCGTGCTAAAGTGCCAACGGCGTTTGAATGCCAACAGTGGTCTTAAGCGTGCTTGCGAGCATGCGATCGAGCTCCTGTGCTCGCAACCTTCCCGTCTTCCCGTCTTTCGCACAGGTGGCACAATTACCCCTGAAACCCCTCTGCCCACCAGCCCCAGCTTCATGCCACTATCCTCCTCCTTTCCCTCTCCCTCTCCCCGCAAGGCATCATCCTCAACTGCCTTACCCTGTGCGCAGCTCACTCCGCCCCCCCTGTTCCATGTGGGCCCCACGAGAGACCGCCCCACCTCGTAACAAATAATAAATACATACAAACAGAAGTGCAGATACCCCGTGCTTCGTTGGATACCCCGCCAAGCGGCAGGCAAGAAGCAGGGAAAGATGTAAATGTAGCCACAACCTCGTCGATTGCCTCCGCAACCTGCGTCCACCCTCCCCAGCCAGTGAGCTCACGGCGCCACCGCCTGCTGCTGTTTCATCTCCGCCTCGCGAGCCTCCAGAGCCGCCATCAACCGGTCGAGCTCCTCCTTGCCGCCGGGAACGGCTTCGAGCTCCTGAACGGGAAGAGTGAGCGGGATAGCAAGAATAAACAAACATGCCGACGGAAGGAAGAGGAGAAGCAAAATGTGAAGGCCTAAAAGGCCCCCAGCAATATCTGTACCGCGAGCTCCGAGAACATGAAACTCCAAAACCCGAAAATCGCTCATGCCAACATTGTAGAGCAACGCAAAACTATGAAGCACCTCAATCCTTACCCTTACCTCACAACCTCAACCCTTATCAGAAATGCATCGGTGGGTCAGTAAGGAAAGCACGAGCTTAGTCACAATCACACACACACACAGACACACAGCCCCACCTGTGGCCCCAGGAACATTCCAAACGGCACTCCGCCAAACTTGTTGGAATGGTGGATTTGATGTGCCACCATGATTCGCTTCATGTACGGCACCTCTGCAATAGGGCCCACTGGGAAGCGCCTGTGCACCAGGCCGTCGTGGAAGAACATGTACATGATGCCAAACAGCGTGATCCCGAGACCCGCTCCGAAGCACACGCCGCCAGTTACGTGCGGCGTCAAAAAGCCGTACAAGCACAGCGCCATGGCCGGCACAGCATTGACAACGGCGTAAATATCATTTGCCTCGAAGGGCCCCGTGCGCGGTTCGTGGTGGGACTTGTGGAGGGCCCACCCGGGCTCGAAGTCATGCCAGAGCACCTTGTGTGCGTAGCGAGCGTACATCTCCATTCCGAACTGCGTCCACCAGACAGGAGACACGACGGGGGGGCGGACGGAGGTAGATGAGGAGAGGGGCGAGGAGAATGAGGATGAGGGGGAGGTGGAAGATGAGGGTGGAGGGGGCGGACGAAGAGGTGGATGAGGTAAACGAGGTAAGGGAGATACCGGAAGGATTGGCGAAAGGGACCAAGGAAAGCGCATTCCAAGCCGCTGTGCAGTCGATGTGCCCAGCCGTAGCCTAAGGCCCCAACAACCCGAACACAATCCTTGGAAGTTCCCCCCATCATACAGCCGTCAACCCCTCATACAGCATCCGTGGGTCACCACATTTGCCGACGCACCCTCCCCCCCTCCTTTCCTCGCTCAGGCCCCAAAGGGGATGAAAACCCTTCACCGGTGTCTTCATCCAGGAACATCCACCCAGCTGAAGGGCGGGGAAGGTGGGGACCATGCAAGTCCCTCGGCCCCTCACCGGCTGACCTTCAAGGCCCAACTGATTACAACCAAGACATTAACCAACCAACCAACCAACCAGCCAGCTCACCAGGTCCGCAACGCAACGCAGTTCCCAAGCCCCATGCCCGCCTCATCTGAACCCATCTTCCCCGCTTCTTCATCCTTTCGGCTGTCCTGACCGTCCCGGCGCGACCTCCAAATCGAAAACATTTCACGCACCCACTGAGGCCCCCCCCTCCGCGCCCAACGGGCCCTGCTCAGCCGTAGTGGTAACAACCCACAAAGGCAGCTTACAGTGCGCCCATGCTAAGGAGTCCCAGTGCTTCATCGAAATCATGACCACCATCATATCATCATAATCCCTGAGCGCCGGCTACTCACAATTCCGCCAAAAACTAGTAGCAGTGTGGCCGCCACCTCATCCAGCGGCACATCCCCCTCCTCAGCCAGGTGCCAGTGGAAGCGGTAGTAGGTGGCCACGACGGCAATGCTCAGCACCAGCACCGTGGCGGCAATGGCAGAGAAGCGGTAAGCCATAGCCTCCCTGGACGGGCCATGGGGTGGCAGATGCGTCAGAGACTCGGGTGAAGAGATATGTCAGAAGAGGGATACGACAGGGGCAAAGAGGGACGAGAAAGGGCAGAGAGAAAAGGGAAATGCAGTACAAATCGTCTTCAGAAAGGCTGAGAGAGCAGAGCTCAGAGAGCGTTGCGGTGAGGTGGTAAAGAATTGAGCGCTCGCTGTTCCTACGCCGAAGTCGCTGCACAGCCTCGGCCCAGAAGACAGACTGTCCACTTACTTGGTGCGCTGTCGCTTACGCTCCAGACGCAGCTTTTGAAAATCCGATGGTTCCACAAGCTGGGGCTGTCCTTCGGTACTTGCCTGAGGGCGGGCAGATCGTGATGAAGGCAAGCAGGCAAGGTCATAATGCCGAGAACGTGAGAATTACATGTATATATGAAGGAAACCTGCAAGGGATTTACGTCATCGCCAGTAGAGTGGGCCGATACGGAATTCCCTGCTATTTGCTAAGGAGCCGTCGTGTTGCGGGACATCGCCAGAACCGTGTCGGACAACACCCCGGCATTTGAAATTTGACAAAGTCTTAATCTATTTCGTCCCGGAGCAGAATGGGCCCGTATGCAAATTCAAGTCCTGGCTAAAACTGGGTCGGCGTGCAGTGCCTTCGCGAGGCCTAAGGAAAGTGTAGAACACAGCGTATTAGAGGAGCATTGAGCCCAGGATGCCCATACAAAAAAGCAGGTACGCCACCGCAAGCTCGACCCGTGCAAGTACATAACTTTAGGCGTTTTTGACGCAGCAATCCTAAATCCTTAACGCAATCTGCTCCTAGCGTTCAAAGGATTCAGCTGCGAACACAACATGTCGCGAAATTGAAATTCACGGCGCGGACCTACTATCAGCCACTTGACAAGCGGCGGCAGGGAATGAATGAGACATGACATGCTTCTCCGGAGCTGAATTATGCCTCCAGAGTACACATCGTTTCAAATCTCATGATTAAGGGCGCAACTCAACATCAAATTCACCTGATGCGTGCTCAAACCATCAGAAGCAGAATCCGCCACGCCAGCAGGTTGAAGGCGTTGATGTGATAATACCTGAAGCCTAGGCCATAGAGTTGGACGAATTGGTTTGGCGTGGCCGGATGCAAGCGCAAGGCGCACGCGCATTGGTCGAGCGGAGAGGAGCATCTTGCCACTCAGCGCGAGACTCTGTGAATAATGCAAGTCTTAACGGCAAAACCTCTTCAGTCGCGGATTACAATTGTCTGTCGCGTCGGTATTGGTGACCTTTGAGGCTCTGATCATACACTGAAACTCTACAGGGTTAAGTTTAAAAGCTGGGGGTTCAACGCAATAGCTTTATGCATAGAAAAGTGAAAATGTTATTGTCGTGTGGGGAGCGCCGGGGACGGCGACGCAGGACCATGCGAATGTACGATGTAAGATCGTTTCGGAGCGGAAAGTTCTTCTGTATGGAAGCTTTTGCCTCAAATACTCAAGAAGATAATCTTTTGGCTTTTTATTAAAAGCTGCTGAAGTGTATGATTACAGTTAAAGTACATAGCATTGGGGCCGCTGAATCCCTTGCAATCCCTTGCGCACCTGCAGGAAAAAACGTTTCATTATATAAGCAACGCCATTATTATCTCATTGCACTTTGACAATGTTGACCTGGTACCGGAAGTGGAAGTGCGTTCCCGTCGGCTTTCGATGTAGGGGTTCATGCATAGTTGCAGAGGTTCAAAACACCGCATGCACATCAACAAGTAAATCATACCGAGCTGATGTGTAGATGCAATCCAGACCACCTTGTCCCTTTACGACCGCTCGCGTCCGCTTCACGCATGTGCACGTCCATCAGCTACTGGATTTACAGTGTATCATAAAATATTGCCCTTTATTGCAAGTGCTTGTTTGTCTGCATCGGTGCCTGGCAAAGCAATTTTTGCAATGTCAATGTCAAGCTGCGAGATCAGATAGAAGCAACATGAGCGGCGACATAGCTGTTAGCGAGATTGCTTGCATTTATCCTTGATTAGGGTGTCTAGTTAGGGGCAGATGGTGGAGTAAAGTATCTATATAGGACTCGACGTCGGGTCCTGGCTTATCCTCAACTGTTGTACTTCTTAGCAGATAGGTTATGCGCTTACAGGGCCTCGCTAAGCATTCTTTAGAATCCTGATTCCATTGTTATCGCTGTCGTTTTGTAACGCGTGGCCCTTTCATCGCGATCCACCTCTAGTCCTGGTCCCAACCCTGCCACGGCGTGCTTCGGAAGCTGGTCTCCGCTGCCCGCGCCGTCTTCTCGCTCTACATAAAAAGCCATGAATTCCTATAAACACATACAGGTGTAGAACCGGGCGGGGGGAGAGACAGAGGAGAATCTTGTCAAGACACTCAATGCTGAAAAACCCAGGAAGTCCTTACACGCGATATCTCAAACCAAGAGTCTTCGATTTCCGTCCATTAGGGCAGCTCGACCATGCAGCGCAATCTCATAAACAACCACCATCCAGTGGAATATTATGAACGGTCATTTCAACATCAATTACTTCAGGTCGATGGGCTTTCGGTTCGTCTAGACCTCGCATGGTTGGTCCAGGGCTTTCTTTGAATGAGGACCCCTACTCATACTCAAAACTCTCCCAGCCTTGCATTATGATAGCTCACGCCCCTTTGTTGAGTCACGGTCGGAACTGTGTACAGAGGTGAGAGTTACGAGTAATGTGTGTGAGATATTGTACGACATTGGTGGCTGCGATCTGTTATGCGAGATTGACGATATGAAAAGCTTTAGGTCGCGCTCTGTCGACGTACATTATTATGACACCATGTTCGACTGCAGGCAAAATTGGCAGCGAGTTTACTTATATCTTGGCTGCCGCTCGCGGGCTAAGAGCACTCTGGACGCAATCCCCGAATGGCCGCGAAAGTGGGTTGGCAGCAGTTATCACGCCATGTAATAGAAATTGTGAGCTGCAAGTGTTGGCAGTTTGACCCTGCTGACCACAGTAAACTAACAGACCACTAGGCAATACAGAGGTTGTTACTGCCAATGTAGCTGCATATGGGTCACAAGGCTTTAGAACTGGATTCAAAAGAATAGAATAGGGAAGAGTGGGCGCCTACCAACATAGTTGGGACTACAGAATTCGCAATACCACGTGGCCATGCTACAAAAGCACCACGCTATATAACCTACATGTATTATGTATTACAAGAATATAAAAACAATTTGAATGATAGCTTCTATTTAAGCGTTTTCACGTAGGTGGCACAAGTTCACAGACATTGGTGCCTCTCTCGTCCTTCGTTCTGGATCTAGGAAACTGATATCAGGTTGCACGACGGCTACTGCAGAAACTCTGTTAGAGAACAGCCTCTTAGCCTATATTTAACGGTACAAGTAAGAGGGCACACAAAACAAATCGTTGCCAAGGCAATGTCTGGTAAGGTGCCTCCACGCAAAGCAGGCATCAAGGGCCAAAAAGCCATAAGATTCCCTGTAGAACATGCTTACAAGGAAGAATCAGAGGTCGTTAGGACTGATAGCACAAGCGCATCATTCGGTGCCGTTAGGTTGACCGTCGGAAATCGGCGCATTAACGGAAGGCCCCAGGCAAGGACCACCATGTTTAGCCTTCTGACCCACAGATGGAACATTTTGTTCTCAGCCAAGCAAGTAATTTTTTGCAGCGCATTCCCTGCGAGCCGGTTCCACCATCGACCAAGCCTGTCGGACCATGCAGGGTTGTGCTGCCAGGCAAGTCTCACAGCAAACATATGTCACGTTGCCATACCAACCGCACTCATCACCTCAAATGAAAAATCCACGCAGCCAAGGCAAACATCAGTGACTCCCATCTCCGCGGGCCGTACCTGGCCGCACCGTACACACCGTTCCAAAAGGTTGCTCTTCCCAGAGTGGCATTATAGCGCAACCCTCATCAACATACTCACGCTCCTGCCTGCAACCGCAGAGCAAGACAGTTAATACTGTGAGCGGTCTATTCAGCGCCACCACGCCGAGAACTGCCATTCGCCCGCAACGCGGCCAAGATGACAGGAACCCTCCTGCAACAACAAAGTGTGCTGCCGCTGGTAGGTCGGAAGTTGGGAGAAAGAGGTGCGAGCTAGACCACAAGCAATCCGTGCGCTCGTGACCTTGTAGTTGGTGAATTTTCAACCCCGTACAGGTTAATATTTTGCCGCACGTGCCTTGGGCTATGGACTCATTTGTGCTATAGGCCGAAGCTGCAACCCTCAACCTTCGTCCACATGCAACCCAAATTGTTCACCACAAGCAGTGTTTCCCTCCCATCCCCTAAACTGAAAACGCGTCACTGATCAAATGCAGGCGTATTGAAGCCCAAGAACCGCTACGGGGACCTTTACCGGGCCAATACAATGACCTCGACTAGGTGAGTCCGAAGGAACCAGCGAAATACCTTGCGATGCCATGGCCACAACCAGCTGTTGGCACGCCAAGGACCCAGTTCACAACGCATAATTTACAGGCCTTCTTCTTCCAAAATGCCGTTACCGTCCCCATGTACGTATATGTCTATGTCACATTCTTGGGACGCGTAAACCCCATGCCTGTAAACCTGCAATAGACAATACGAGAGCCATGTGGGGGCAACGGGCCACAAGGGCATTTCATCGCCCTTTTGATAAAACGCGCAAATAATGGTAGACCGCACGAGGGAAGTTAGCACCCAAAGGGACAATCGAGTTTTGATGTGGGGCCACATACGTTCCAACACCAACTGGGCAGGCGCGCAGGTTGCCAGATCATTGCTTCGTTCATGCCGCTGACCAGGGTAAAACCTGCTTCGCCTAGTGTCCATTCACAAGTAGTCCACTCCAGCAGATCCAATCAGAATCAAAATGGCGTTATCGAGGGGGTCATGGGGGGTCATAGGCACATAGTGATCATCGCGAAATTGCCGATGTGCGGTGTCACCATGTTCAATCTCGGCCTATACGTAAATGTCTCACCAGTTTCTGTGTTCTGTAGGAAGCTCGAGGTGCGCCGACTGCACATCCCGGCAACGCCAGTGCCGCCGCCACCGCCGGCGCCACCACTGCGTCCGCCATCACTGCGTCCGCCGGCCCCGCAGCACCGGCTGCAGCCGCCTGCGCCGCACCGGCAGCAGCTGTGTTCACCGCACCGGCAGCAGCTGTGTTCGCCGCACCGGCAGCAACTGACGCCGTCGTCAGTTGCAGGGTTGACACCCCTTCAAGACCAGATGGAACCAGCGCCTGTCAGCTCACGTCCCCAGCTCATGGAGGGCCCAGAAGGCAACAACGTTCTAGAACCCGCGACCACGCCCATGGCGTCGCCTGCACCTTCATACCGGCGTACGGAGGAGGTGCCTGACACCAAGCCGACACCTGCGACATTTCGCACGCCAGTGGCCTCGCTCTGCCCGCATATGGAGGCCGGGTGGGAGGCGTCTACGCCCATCCAGCCGCCGCTAGGCACCTTGAAGACCTTCAGGTGGGCAGGTAGCTCATCGCTTGGGGTGCCATTGTACAGTGGATGCCATGGGGCAAGATGTAAGGTGTAGTGGGAGGGGTATGGCTACTGCGTCTTGGGAAGAATGCAGCTTGAGTGAATTGAGAGAGAATTATAGGGTTCGTTACGGAGCCTACACGTAAGCCAGGAACTCATGGAACTCATGGACAGAGACTGCTCACGTGTTCAATAACTCGCTTTACGTCCCATGTCCGTTGCAATCCCTTTCCTTCCACACGGCTGGTTTGACTGACGAGCAGCCAAGTCAGGGCGCCGCGCGGCTTGGAGGAGAAGCTGGGGTGCGCCACGGTACGTCCCAAATCTGTGTCTCTCGAATGGGTCATTTCCAGATACAATGCCAATATGAGTGCACGGGGAGGGATCTGGCCCGTAACGAAAAACCAGTTGCGTAGGGGCTAAGCTCGCACACTTCGCACAGGGGTTTTGAAGTCGCAAATGCGTTCTTTTGGATCCAGTTCCATGCCCACGCTTAACTACTCCAGTGTTGCGCACTCGGGTTTTGAATGGAATACAGGTCGTCACTCCAGTCAGGCGGTCCGCCAGGACGAGCCATTCCAAGCCAACCATGTCTGTGTCTTCTTTGCTTGAAGTAAGGTGTAGAATAATGAGATTTTCCCATGATAAATAGTTTCGCCCTGAAGAGGCGCCTGAATTAGAGTTTAATTCGATAGGATTAGACGTTAGCTATTTTGATGCGATCGTCCATCCTATCGCTATAACTCACTTGCCTATGCCAATATTTATCCTATTGCAGGCTACAAACTACGCTTACGCACCAAACGCATTCTTGTCGTAGCGATGTACGGCGATATTGGACGGTGTCGCGGCATCCTATGCCGCAGGATCATTGGCCTGCATATTGCAAATCGGACTAGGGTCCAGTCGGTGCGGGGCGCCTGTACGCCTTACGGTCTGTACCAAAATCATTGTGTTGCGTAGGGCTTATCCTTTTCGCTGGTGCAACATCCCGGCGCGTTTCATCGTTGGACTAGGTCATTGCAAACGTGTGTTTGATTTCATACTCTTATCCTTTTATCAATCAGCACCCATACACAGACGTGCATTGCTCTTTCACCATGCTGCTAAGCAGCCGGACTATCAATGTGACGAATCGGTGCTTTCGTGAATCTTCGGCGCTTGTAATCAAGCCATGCAAAGTGAGTACGTCTGTAAACCATGGCACCTGCATATTGCGAGTTCAGATATGGATAACCCCTTCGAGATGGTCCTGCCGTGAGGTCCACCAGAAGAAAAAGCGCGGCGGAGCAACCTGGTTGTGTACAAACTTTTAGCCATTTTCCGTTTAGGTGTTAGCGGCAAGGCTTCTAGAACTGCGTCGTGCGAAAAGAGGACGCCGAAAGTGGTCGAATCGCGATGGACTCCTTGTGTACGTCCGCACCAACAGGCAACGCATTCAGCACGGGTATTGCCACTAGTGAGAGCCTCGGTCGCCGCCGCCCCACCCGCCATCACTGATGTCCCCGGTATCGAGACGACGCACGATGCCAATGTCCATGGGAAGAGCGGCGCTGTGGAAGTCGAGGTTCCAGGGCTTAAGCGCGCAACAGAGTTGCGTAACATTATTTTTGTCACTTCCGAGGTATGAAGCCATAGCATGAAAAGACTGGGAAGCGGGAGCGAGTTGACCTTGGCTCTGATGTGCGGGACAAGCAAGCCCCCTCCCTCGCGCCTTGCCCGCGTCAGTTAGTATGACACCGAAACCAGTGACTACAACGAAATGTATAACGCGCAACGGGGCACACAAGTCCGTGGCCTGCATCTCTGCCCTTTGGATGGTTCGCCTTTTTCCTTCTCATAGCGTCATTTCACAGCAGGCGCATGCAAGCAAAAGGAAGGTCAGCATTCCTACCAAGTTTCCCATCATGTCGCATAGGCTCATCCGGCCCCTCCCCGTTGCATCAAAGCTTACTATTCCCTGACCCCGCCCACCCTACCTCCCTCCTGGCCCCCCGCCCGCACAGGTCGCCCCCTGGTCAAAGACGGGTGGCCTCGCCGACGTGCTGGGCTCCCTGCCCTTCGCCCTGGCGGAGAGGGGTCACCGGGTCATGGTGGTGGCGCCCCGGTGGGTCGGTGTGATGTGATGTGGTGTGATGTGATGTCGTGTGATAGCTGACAGCGGTGAGCGGTGAAATAGAACTTGCCGAATCGGACAGAATTCATTTGTGAAGTAATCTCTAGGTGAATTGGATAAAGCATATAAAATGAAAACGAAGTAGAACTTGATGAACTATAACAGATGAAATAGGCAAATGTCACAGTGCATTACTACAACATCTCAGTCCGGATGTGCAGCAGGTCCAAGGTGATGAGTATTGTAGTACAATAGGTGTGGTTCACGTAGTCGTAGCACAGGTTATTAGGAAAGCAATAAGAGGGGGAGTCGGAATCATAGGGACACGGGCGCATAGATAGATACTAACGTTAAAGTAAGACCACCGAATGATCGGAGAGGAAATCGCGGACTTCCCGCCTCCATCATCCCGCCTCCGAGGTGAACACCTCCCCGGTTGTTTTTCTTGCAACTTCCCGCGCATGGCTTGAGTTCCATCACCCCAAAAACGGTCCGGGTCGCGGAGAGTGGTGCTTGAAAAAGGAAGCGGGGTGAGGGTTGAACTTAAGGTTTTAGTTTTCTCGCGAGGTGCGGCAGTGTCCCCAAACACGTTTGGACACGTGGAGTTGGGCTTTGGTAATTGAGGGCGAGTCCATGCTGAGCCTGAGGAGGTTGGCGCGGCGGAGGGGACTGGTAGGCAGCAGTTTCGGTCTGTTCGCGAGGCGGCCAGGCCCCGTGGGGAGGGGGAAAAAGAAGCGGGACCACGACCACCATGTAGTGTCCCGGGGGATTGGGACAGCTGAGCTGCGCAGTGCGCTGGTAGTCTGGGGATGTGGGTTGAGGGATTGGATGTCGGAAGCAAAGAGCTATCTGAAGGTGACGTGGTGGCCTGAAGGGCTGCGTCACAAGCGTCACGACGGACTTAACGTGACACATGGAGTATCGACGTTTTTAGGAACAAATTTAGCTTTTAAATAATTAGGGATTTAAAAATAAATAAATAAGTTAATGAAGTTGTAAAAAGATCTTGATTTTTATTTAGTAATAAGATCACGAGAAAAAGTAAACAGGTTTATGGTCAGTCCGGAACACTTCACATCGGTACGTTTTTGCTGAGGTTACAAGAACTACTACGGTTACGGAAGCATTTAAACAGATTTGTGATATATCTGCACCACACAGCTCAGCGCGGGTCCGCTATGGGGTCCGGTCCCACAGGGGCTGCCTGATACCTGCTTGGGTGGCGGTCACAGTCGGATTGAGAGGAAAATCTGTTACGGGCAGTACGTCTGCGGGCGCCTGCCCAACCCAACTGTGTCGTACTGCTTGTCCTGATTCTCCCTCCGCTCTGGTTCCCGTCAGCCGTTGCCTCTCTCAGATCGGGTTTCTTTCGTATTGGGTTTCGGAAGCAATACTTCTTTCGCCAAACCGCCTTCCACCGCGCAGCTTCACTCGCATGTGGTTCGTCTTTCCCCCCTCCACCCCTCCACCTACTGAGCCTCACCGACCCGCTCTACTTCGTTCCCTCCACCTTAAAAATGTACCTTTCGCCCTGCCTGGCTTTGCCAGGTACGAGCCGTACGAGGGCCCCGTCAACACTGGCGTGCGTGTCACCTTGATGGGTCATGCAGAGGTGAGCGACCCGCGGGTCTGTGCTTGCATCCGCACGTGCGTTTTGAAATACCGTACCGTATTGCTGCTGAGGACACTGCGGGACATTCTTTTGGAGCTACTAGTCCACGGTACTTGTTATACTTATTCTTAAAGTGTTCATTCCATCATACCTTGTCCCTCTTCTCCCGCTCCCGCTCCTCCTCCTCCTCCTCCTCCTCGACTTTCCCCCTCCCTTGTTACCTCCCTCGGCAGTCCACTCCTCGTTTTCGTGCATGTGATTTCCCCCCCTCTACGCAATCGTCTTCACCGTATCCCAGGTGGGCTACTTCCATCAGCAAATTCGTGGAGTGGACTTCGTTTTCGTGGACCACCCCTCCTATCCTCGACCCGGCGGACTGTACGCCGACACGCACGGAGTGTACGGCGATAACCAGGTGGGTGTTAGGCTTGGGGGGTGGGGTGGGGTAGAGGGGGTCACGGTGGTAATGTGTGGGTACCCCGACGTCGCGTGTGGGTATTATGCATGGGGGCCGGGGGGGGGGGGAAGAACAAGCGAGGTGCGTATTGCCCCGGCGGGTGCGTTGGTGATATGCAGTCTCCCTCCCTCCCTCACTCCCACTCACCCTGTGCACGTCGGGGCGGTTGACCGTTGTTTCTGATCTTGCAGCCGATTCCTCCTTGCCCTTCCATACCTGGTATCTGCTTCATTTGTCCGTTGTCCGTATTATTCCCGATCTTCTCATTCGGGAACCAATCTTCCGAAGTTCTATCGCCTATGACTCACATCGCTTCATGGCAGTTTCAAACTTCGGGCAATTCATGCCTTGCTTCCTTGCACGTGATCCCCCCCACCCCCACCCCCACCCCGCGCTCCTTCCACAGTTCCGCTTCACCCTGCTCTGTCTGGCTGCTCTGGAGGCGCCCTTCTTCCTGGAGCTCCCGCTGCCCCCCCAGCAGCTGGACCCGCCCCGATCGCCCTCCGCCGCCGTCGCACCACTACCTAACGGTAATGGTGACGACAACAGCAATGGTACGGATGCCGTACCCAGCAGCAAGTACGGCCAGGATGTAATGTTTATTGCCAACGACTGGCACGCGTCCCTGGTGCCAGTCTACCTAGCCGCCAAGTACCGGCCCCACGGGGTGTACGGCAACGCCAGGTGCATCCTGGCTATACACAATTTGCGGCATCAGGTGAGGGGGTGAGAGGGGGAAAGGGTGGTGTACAGACTGACAGACAGACAGGCTGGGAATCGAGTGAATTATAACCCGTCTTAACCATATTACCTTACCCCCGCTCCCTTCACCCGCTCTGAGTTGCTGCGCGGTGTGGCAAACTCTCCCCCCTCCTCTCCCCCCCCTCTCCCCCCTCCTCTCCCCCTCCTCTCCCCCTCCTCTCCCCCCCCTTTTACTGCACATAGGGTGTTTTCCCGCCTGGCACGTTCGCCTCCCTGGACCTCCCGCACCAGTGGTACGGCTGTCTGGAGTGGCAGTACCCGCCACATCAGCGACAAGGCAGTTGGGCAGAGGAGGGACGATCGGTCAACCACCTCAAGGTGGTTGGAGGTGGTTGGGAAACTGCAACTGGTAGTTGGAACTCGGCTGGCAAAGGAGAGGGACATCCAGAATAATAAATACAAATAGAGATACACGGTTTTGTGGAGGCGGCGGTGGAGGAGGAGGAGGAGACCGTATGTGATGGAGATGCTGCATCCGGCATCCAATCTACAGGCTGTTGTTCGCGTGCCTTGACTTTGTTGCACTACTGCTGCTTTCGCTGCATTCCGATGGTAAAAAACATACATCAGGATGCATATATATGTACAGTACCTGTACTGCGGCTTGTGATGTATATTACGTATTGTACGGCGCTACGCAGGCTGGCCTAACCACTGCCGACCGCATCGTAACCGTGTCCGCGGGTTACGCTGAGGAGATCAAGACCTATCTGGGCGGCTGGGGCATGGAGGGGATACTCTCTGCACGTGACCCCGTCCTCAACGGCGTGGTGAACGGCATCGACACGGAGTGAGCGGGTTTTATTTATGGGTTTGGGGGTGCAGGGCGTGGGAGGGGGGGGGGCGAATAGCAGGTGTGTTGTTTCCGAGGCGGGTTGTGTTAGAGGCTTGAAATTCACTTTATTGTGTTTTTTTGGGGGGGAGGGGGAAAGACTGTTTTGGGGCGGCAGGGGGGCTGGAGAGGGTCGAGTGGCGGACAGGGAGGGGGGAAGATGAACGGGAGAATGATAAGGGACGGGAGCGACAGATAGACAGACAGACAGACGGCCAACCTAACTTACCAGCATGACTCAACCTCCTCTGCCTCGTGCTACCTCTCCCAACCCGCCCTGTCTGGGTTTCATTTCCCCTTCCCCCGCCCCACCTTGGCCACACCGCCTTCGTGCATTCCTGTGGTAAAACCACCCCTGGCCAACCGCCACCAACCGCCGCCAACTGCCGCACCTGCACAGCGAGTGGAACCCCGCCACCGACCCACACCTGCCCTTCAAGTACGACACAACTAACTTCGTCGAGGGCAAGGCCAAATGTAAAATGGAGCTGCAGGTGCGTTCCGCATTATGTATTGCCTGTCTATCTGTATGTACTTCAGCAAGCTCGCCGTGTCGTTGAGGTATTGGGCACGAGCCCCATTCAGCTCCTCTCCCATCCCATATCGACATCCATTCGGTTTTTCGCACACCTTTCCTCCTGCCCCATCCTTCTCCCACATACTACTCCTTCCGCCCTCACGTCTATCTCGTGTATCGGTAGGTTCATTGGCCAGTGGTTCGTCTTACCCTCCCCT